AGAGGCAGGTGGCAGAACCACTGAGCTAAACCCCCAGCCTCTAAAGGGCGTAGTTTGAAGACCCAGACCTTGAAGACAGGTGACCCCACTTGGAAGGGGGGGTATCTAGGGGTCTCCAGTGAAGTCCCAACCTGGTCAGATCCTAGCAGTGAGGCCTGGGGGCAGGGTGGCAGCTGGAAGGTGCAGCTGTGGGCCCTCCCCAACTCACCTTCTGGAGCTTCCCGCCCAGCCGGTCTTCAACCTTACAGAGGGGACAATGTAGTGCAGCTGAGACCGACCTTTCATTGACTCCTTCCCATCTTCACGCCTTCATACTTCTCTCCAAACCCAGTCTCCTCCCCAGGCCTCCATCTGCCCTGCCTCTCCCTCTGTCCCAGAGAGGCACTGGGTCCTGTTCTCACTCTTTGCACCTCAGGTCTGAGCCATGTTTTCCTCTCTCTCCCATTGTCTGCACAATGGGAGAGCAGGTCACTCTTCTCCCAGGATGTCTCTCACACCAGCCTTTTCTTGGGTCAATTTCGCTAGCCTGGAACATTTCTTTCTACTCTGTAACAGTCCTCCAAAGCTTCAACCGTCTGGGGAAAGGCCATCATAGTAAATCTATTCTTACTGGACACCTCATCCCGCCCTTCAGAATCCCAGCTTCCAAAAAGCATCAGTCTGTGCTCAATCCTGATGAAATCATGGTAGAGTGCTGGCCTTGGCCTTTGAGGGTGACGCCTTAAATTCAATCTTTGCTTTTACATGGATTCAGAGTTCAAAGCCTCCAGTCGCTAGAGGGCAGCAAGTTGGTCCAAAGGAATCACTACAATGAAGGAAGTTCTGATAAAATTCATGCCCAGACACCTCCAACACTCTCCCTTGGGTTCTACTTCACTTGCCTGAAGCAAGGGTAGAGAGGCAAGTAGCCTGTCCTCTTGTAGTGACCAGAGGTTGGAGACTGGACTGGTGTGGGACCCAATAACTATCTGGTAAGGAATAGGCCTGTTGAGTATTGGAGTGTCCTTCCTCACCCTGCCTCTTCTTTCCATCTCTGGAATTCTTTATGGGGGGGGGATTATGTTGCTCCCCATAATCAGGGCAGGTGGGGAAGGTATGGCCATTAAGCAGCAAGGAATTCCATGACTATGGTCTAATCTGACCATAAAACTTGGGGGCAGGGGGAGAAATCACTTTATTCTCTACAAGTCTTCAGTTTCCCTGTACTTAAAATGAAAGTTTTTTGACCAGGTGATCTCTGCTTCACCATGGGAACTTTGTCTTATTCCAGGGGAAGTTCCTGGTCCATGTCCAGCTGGCTCTAAGTTCCCTTTCTTCTGCAAACGGGGAAGAACTATGCAATTCCAGAATGAGGGTTAAACATTTCCTGTGGTATTGCCCAGATCTCTTCCTCTGACCCCTTCATTATTTCTGATCTTATTAGTTCCCCCTTCATAGGAGAGGATGGATATAGGCACCAGTGTTGTGCTACTATCATTAATTCATTCAAAAATAGAATCTATTACATAGCTGTTCCTATTTTAGGCCCTAGGGACCCAAAAGTACACAAGACCCAGGGTTTGACCTTATAGAGAAGAGGTACTGTGGGCCAGAAATCAGGACAGACTTTATAAGTTGGCAGAATTGAGACCTACCCATGAGGTACAATTTCACAAAATCACAGGAAGGCCCTTTGCTTTTTGTTTTTCTTTCTTTTTTGTTGTTTAATTTTTAAAATACCATTTTTGATATACATGATTATGGGTTTTGTTTTTGTTTTTGTGAGACAGGGTATTGCTTCGTAGTTCAGGCTGGCCCTGAACTCACTATGTAGCCCAGGCTGGCCTCGAACTCACAGTGATCCTCCTGCCTCAGGCTCCCAAGTTTTGGGATTATAGGTGTGCATCACAGTGCCTGGCCTACATGATTATGTTAAAATAAATTTTTCAGTGGAAAAATGTTGGTACCAGCAACATGATGAAAGTTAAATTTAATAGTTTTTTTTTTTTTTTCGGGGCTCATGATTGAACCCAGGGCCTTGAAACATGCTGGGGAAGAGCTTTATCCCTGAAATACACCACCAATCTGCAAATTTAACAATCTTACCATTTCATGTGAAGGAGCATTTTGTTATTTAATGCTTTAATGTTATAGTTTATATCTAAAATGTTCCCTATAAATCTCATGTACTTGGAATTAGGCCTCATAGGAGGGGGCTGGCCACTGGGGACCTTATTTGATAGGGTGTAGGTCTTGTCCCTGGCTCCTCTCTTCTCTCTCTGCTTTCTGGCTGCCATAGGTTGATAGCTTTCTTTTGTCATGCCCTTCCACCATGCTCTTTCTGCCTTGGAGCCAGCCAGCCCTGGACTGAATCCTACAAAACTATGAATCAAATTAAACCTCTCCTTCCTTTAAATTGTGGGTGTTGGGTATCTTACACCATCTTAGGGAAAAGAACAAAAAGCCCTTCTAGTGAAGACCTTAATCCTTGCCTTTATTTTAAATTTAGAAGACACCCTGAAGGGCCCAGGGATTTAGCTTAGTGGTCCCGGCGCCTGCCTCAAAAGCACAAGGTCCTGAGTTCGATCCCCAGTACCAAAAAAAAAAAAAAGACATCCTGAAAGATAAGGGCAAAGTGTTGATTATACTATGCTTTAATATCTAAAAAAGAAAATAGAATAAAATGAAATTGAGCCAGGTGTTGTGATGCATGCCTGTAATTCCAGCACTCAGGAGGCTGAGGCAGGAAAAATCACTTTAAGTCTGAAGCCAGCCTGGGCTACATAGTGAATTTAAAGCCAGCCTAGCCTACAGAGTGAAACTCTGTCTCAAAGAAACAAAAAAATAAAATAAAAATTAAGTGAACAAGGAAGCTACTAAGCTTAAACTTAGTTGACCATGCTCAAGAAGACTTGGTATTGTGTAATAACAGATGCTTATACTGAAGCAGGACTTAAAAACAAGTTTTTCCTTCTTTGGGTAGTCCCTCCACTCCTTAGGTTACCCCCCCACACACTGCCTGTAGCTGTAACTCCTTGTTCTGATACAGATAAAATTGGTAACTATGACTTATAAACAAAGTTTATGTCATGTTGTTCTCACAAGATTCACAAGGCTCTGTCTTCTTTCAAGGCTAAATTAAAAAATGTCTGCCCTTGTCTTGTTTCATGTAAACTCGTTTGCTAGGAAGACCACCCCACTTTGACCAAATGTATGAAAACTGGAACTTTTCTTTGTTCAAGGCTCTTCCTTTGGACATTAGTCTGTTGGGCCAGTGTTCACCTAAACCTAGAATAAAATTCTTCTGTTTCCCAATGGTCTGTCCTGTCTCTTAAATCTTTTTTTTTTTTTTTTGGTACTGTGAATCGAACTCAGGTTCTTGCACTTTTGAGGCCGGCGGCAACACCACAGAGCTAAATCCTTGGCCCATCCTGTCTCTTAAATCTTGCAACCATACAATAATCTATCAGGTGGGGTGGGGATTTAGCTCAGCGGTTCTGCACCTGCCTTGAAAGTGCAAGGTCCTGAGTTTGATCCCCAGTACTCAAAAAAAAAAATCTATCAGGCAACATGTTGCTTATGAAAGCAGTAGGTCTAATCATAATTAATTTGCACTTAATTTAAATCAGGGTAGACATATCTGACCAAATCCAGTCCTTTTCTTTCAGTCATGTCGGTGGTATAGTTTTACTGATATATTTTATTAAATATGCAGCAAGTCCTTCAAAAATAACTGAAGATTTAAGAATACCTAAAAATTGATTGTGAATATTCTCTAAAATTAGAGCCAAAAGTCTATTAAAATATGAGGAGGAGGATTCATTCATATTTGAAAATTAGTAGTAGATAACGGAGTTACTTTTATACTACAGATAACCACTGAAGAAAACTACACAAATGTACTTTTTTTTTTAACTGGGGATTTAACTCAGGGCCTGGAGGGGAGTGCTCTACCACCGATTTACATCCCCAGAGTTATTTATTTATTTATTTTGAGGCAAGGGCTCACTAAGTTGCCTAGGCTGGCTCTGAAGAACTTTGGAGCCTTCTGCCTCAGCCACCCCATTAAATTTCGATCACAGGAGTACATAACGACTCTTGGCAGCCATTTGTAAATTTAAATCAACTTTTCCACTGTCTCCAGTCAGGTTTTTGTCTCTGCATCTCTTTAAATCTTCCCCATTTTTCTTAAGTCTTCCACATGTCTCTGTTTCCTACGGCCTCACAAAAGAAATAGAAGCCATCAACTAGGGACACTCAACTTTCAGCCACTTCCTCGGTGTGTGTGTGGGGGGGGAGCAAGAGACATAAGAATTTACAAGGGTCTGAAAGTGGCTAGTAAAATCCTTCAAACAGCTAAGCTTAGCAGTTATTAACAAGTTTTTTCTTTTCAAGACAGGTTCTCGCCACATAGTTCAGGCTGGCTTTGAACTCACTATGGAGTCCAGGCTGGCCTGGAACTCACGGCGATCCTCCTGTCTCAGCCTCCCGAGTGCTGGGATCACAGGCATGCGACACCACGCCTGGCAACAGGCCCTCATTTCAGAGACTATCCCCTAAATTCATTCATTCTGTCACAGCCGGGTTCATTATCCATCCACGGTGGTAGCCCGGGCCCAGACTAAGCCCAGTGACCCAGGCTCCATCCTAAATCCTGGTCACAACCTGAGCCCTCGCTTCAGGAGGGCGGACAGATAGGTGACAGTAGGAGGGAAGAAGGTGGGACTCCCAAGTGCCCTGGCTGCCAGCTTCGCGCCTTTCCCCGTCCTAGCAGGCCCTTCCGCAACTCCAAGAGCCCGCCTCCACCTCCCGGGAGGACTCCACAGGGCGGAGTAGACCGCTCTGGGGCGGCGGGGTCATGCGCAGAGCGATCTGGCTGGCAGGCGCCGAGGACAACGTGCAGAGGCGGGACACCGGCTGGGCTGCACTCTGGATTTGTCCGAGGTGGGCAAAAAGGGGCGGGAGATTCACGCGGCTTGACTTCTGATTGGTCAGAGGTAGGCAGAAAGAGGCGGGGCTGGGGGGGGCGCGCGCTCTTGTTGTGCGACCTGGCGCGCGTGTAACGGCCGTTAGTCAAGCTGAGGAACGCAACCGCCGCCCGAGGCAGACGTGGTGGCCGCAGACAGTATCCCTGAGTGAGAGATTTTGCAGCCAGTTTTCAGGCCCGGGTAAGTTCTCAGGACCCCCATCGGAGTAGCTCAGGCGGAGCGACCGGCCTCCGTGGGGGACGCGGGACAGCGGAGCGCGCATGCGCAGAGTGACTAAGCTGTAACCCGCCACTCCACCCCCACCCCCATCCCCGGTCTGGTCTCTCAGCCTCAGCCTCCTAAAGTACTGCCCTCCCCTCGACCCCTAGTAGCCCGGTCTCTTCTCCTCCGTTATCTTGCTTTGTCCTTGTCATTCCCTCCACAGCCTTTGAATAGCGCCTTCCTTGCGCCGTGGGAACACACAGTCCCAAGAGCAATACGTTAAGCGAATGTTACTCAGGTAGCACTCAATAAGTGCAGGGTAGAGAGATTTTATAAAGAACACAAAACAAAGCACGGATCTAAGGGGCTGGGGATGGTAGATTGCTTGCCTAGCGTACATGAGGCCCTGGGTTCGATCCCCAGTACGGGGCGGAGGACTGTTCTCGTCAGAGAGGTCAATACAGGGGGAAAAAAAGATTGGGGGACAGGCAATACTTGGGAAGTCCCTAGGCTCATGCCAGGGCGGTTTAGGAGCCGTCCCCTGGGGCCTTGGGAGTATGAACTGAGATTGGAAGGATGTGTAGAGTAGATTGGTTGGGGGACCGGCAGTCCACTCCTATTATCTCATCTACTCCACTCCGTAGTCCGAGGTAGGAGCATAGCAGGTTCGAGGCCAGCCTGGGCAATTTGAGACTACAACGTCAACATAAAATTAAAAGGGCCGAGGATGTAGCTCAGTGTACCCTGTGTTGAATCTTTGGTACCACAAAGGAAAAAAATAAAAGACTGGGCCACAGGCAGTATTTGGGAAGGCCCTAGATCGGTGCTTATGAGCCAGGATGATTTTGCTTCTTGGAATACCTGACAGTGTTTGGAGACATCTTTAATCGTCACAAGTCGGAGATGGCTGCTGATACCTAGTAGGAAGGAGCCAGGATGCTGCTAAGCATCTGGCAGTGTGCAGGACAGCCTCTCTCCTTCCAGGAATTAGCGGAGCCAAAGTGTCAGTAGTGCTGAAGTTGAGGAGCATTGCCATAGCAAAAAGGAGCTTGTGCTTTGGATGAACTGGAAGTTTAATGTGTTCAGGTATATTGTCTAACAGCATATTCTGCACTTCACCCCAGTAAACCAGGAGGAGCAGGACCATGTCTTTCTTTTACACAGGTACATTTCCTGCTTGTGGCATAAATGGCCAGGCAAATAGGTACTCAGTAAATTTTGGTTAATGAATTGAATACAGTGTGCTAGGTTAAGGATGATTAGGGTAACTGTACCTTGACCTTGAGCCTGGTGTGGTGGCGCATTCCTGTGACCCCATAACCCCAGCACTAAGAAGGCTGAAGCAGAAAATCCCAGTCTAGGGCCAGGGATTTAGCTCAGTGGTTTCGCTACCTGCCTCACAAGTGCAAGGTCCCAAGTTCGATCCCCGGTATCAAAAAAAAAAAAATCGCAGTCTTATTCTTTGTAAAGACAGCTTCTTGGCAAGGAATTATGTTCTTTTACACTAAGTCTGTTTAATGAGCAATGAAGGCCATGAATATAATGTGATGGTATGAGATTTTTCTCAGTACTAGGGATTGAACTCAGGGGCTCTGTTCCACTGAGCTGTGTCCCTAGCCCCCCCCCCCCTTTTTTGGTACCTGGGATCAAACTCAGGACCTTGTGCTTGTGAGGCAGGCGGTAGAACCACTGAGCTAAATCCCCGGCCCCCTACCCCTTTTTAAATTTTTTTTTGTTTTGAGACCAGGGCTTGCTACATGCCCAGGATGAGCTTGAATTTGGCAGTTCTTCTCCCCAGTCTCTTCCCTCAGTGCTGGGATTACAAGTGTGCGGCACCACGCCCAGCTTGGTGTGAGATTCTTAATGTATCTGTCAGCTGCCTGTGTATCTTTTCAAATCCGCTCCTGACTTGATGTGGTTCTCTCAACAGCTGCTATGTGTGACATGCAACCCTAAGATTGTAATTCTTCAAGAGGAGAAATATTTCTAACAGGCAAAATCCAACTGTTGGTTAGCAATTTAGGAAATAGAGCCTGGGTGATGAACAGGGGTGAAATGAGAATTATATGACTGTCCCTGCTCCTAACTTTGAGGTTTGCAACTCTGGCTGTCTGAGGCAGAAACTCTGACTCAGTGGTGCCTTAGTAACTTCCTTCATTTCTCTTTTTGTTTTGTCATACACAGAAAGAATACTGGCTAAACACTTAAAGCATTATATCACAGTTCTGGCTTTGAAGCCTCTTCCTAATTGTATGGTCTTCACCTGTCTAAACCTTTATTTTCTTATCCATAAAATGAGGCCATCCTAGTAATTGCCTTTCTAGGTATGGTGTACACCTGTAATCCCAGCTCTGGGGAGGCTGAGGCTGGAGGATTATTGTGTGTTCAAGGCCAGCCTGAATTATGTAGTGAGACCCTGTCTCAAAAAACAAAACCAAAAACAAACAGCAATAACAACAAAAATATATAGTAACTGCCTTGTAGATTGTTGTATTAAATGTGAGCTACAATACCTGTAAAGCATGTAACATTGTGCTTGATCAATCATAAATTGTTAACTTTTTTGAATAAATGGATATTTTGGTAGTATAAAGGGCTTTGAATATAGAAATAAAACATGTTGGGTACTTTTTTTTTCCTTGTCTGCTTCCATTCATTTCTCTCAGTTTTACCCTAGGACATCTCTGTGTCCTTTAGTAGGTCCTAAAAATCTCTGCTAGTTGCTCATTTAATTCTGAACTTAGTAGGAAAAAGTCAAGAATGACTTAGTCTATATTATTTTGGGAGTACTTTTTAAAATAACATATAATTCATATACCATAAAATTCCATTTTATATGTGTATAATTTAGTAGTTTTTAGTATATTCTCCAAGTTGTTCAACTATTACCACCATCTAATTCCAAAATATTTTGATCACCCTGAAAAGAAACCACCAGTCTCTGTTTCCCTCACCCCCTTCCTCTCATTTCTTGGTGAGCAGTAATCTGCTGTCTCTGTAGATTTAGCTTTTCTAGACGTTTTATATAAATAGGATCATAGAGTATATGGCCTTCAGTGTTTGACTTATTTCATTTAGCATGGTTTAAAAAAAATTTTGTTTTTGGTACCAGGAATCGAACTCAGGTCCTTGCGCTTGCACAGCAGGCAGCAAAACCACTGAGCTAAATCCCCAGCCCAAGCATGTTTTTTTTTTATTTGGCATGTTTTTAATGTTTATCCATGTTGTAGCATATATCAGTACTTCACTCCTTTTATTAGCAAGTAATATTCCATTATATGAGTATATACCACGTTTTATTTATCCTTTTATCAGTTTATGTACATTTTGGTTGTTTCTTTTTTTTTTTTTTTTAACCGGGGATTGAACTCAGGACCTTGCACTTGTGATGCAGGTGGGGCGGTACCACTGAGCTAAATCCCCGGCCCTTTCTTTTTTTTGTACTGAGGATTGAACGCAGGACATTTGCACTGAACTTCACCCCCAGTTCCCCAGATTTTTTTTTTTTTTTTGGTACTGGGGATTGAACTTGGGTCCTTGCGCTTGCACAGCAGGCGGCAAGACCACTGAGCTACCAGGGGTTTTAAAAAACCTACCCAGGGTTTTTTTGGTTTTATGAGACAGGATCTCACTTTGTATTCCACACTGCCCTTGAACTCACTGTGTAGCCTAGGCTGGCCTCAAATTCATGGCGATTCACCTGCCTCAGCCTCCCAATTCCTTACAGGTGTGCACCATCATGCCCAGCTCCCAAGCCCTTCTTTAAAATATTGAGTCAGGATCTTCCTAAATTGCCCAGGCTGGGCTTGAACTTGTGCCCTTCTGCCTCGGCCTCCCAGAATGCTGGGATTACAGGCCTGTGCAACCATGCCCAGCTTCTACTTTTTGTCTATTGTAAACGCTGCTATTCACATTCACCTACATGTTTTTGTGTGAACATACTGTTCATTTCTCATGAATACACAGTTATGTCTCTATATCTGTATCTGAGTTCTACATCTGTAGATTGAACCGCCTGTGGATTGAAAATATACTCGGGAGGGATTGCATATGTACTGAACATGTACATACTTTTTTTCATCATTCCCTAAACAGTATAGTAAAGCAGTATTTACATAGCATTTATATTGTATTAGGTATTATAAGTAATGTAGATATTATAATGTGTTGTTGTTTGAGATGAGGCTGGGTCTTTCACTGTATTGCCCAGGCTGTCCTCAGCCTCTTTGCTCAAGTGATCTTCCTGCCTTGGCCTCCCAAGTAGCTGGGACTTACATGCCTGCAGCACGTTACCTAGCCTCTAGAGATGACTTAAAAGGTAAATAGGTATTATATGCAATTGTGCCATTTTGTGTCAGGCATCTTGAGCATCTATGGATTTTGGTATCTGTGAGAGTTCCTAGAGCCAATCCTCTGGATACAGATGGATCATGGTGTACCTAAGAATAGAATTAGTGAGTCGTAGGGTAACTGCTTAACTAGGAGTTCTTTTGTCACCTTATTCCTAACTCATCTGAATTTGGAAAAGTCTGAATCTGTTGGGCCTACCTTTTTTTTTTGGTACCAGGAATTGAACTCAGGATCTTGCACTTGGTAGGCAGGTGCAGGGCCACTGAGCTACATCCCCAGCTGTTTTGTTAACCTTTAAAGAAAGAGGTAAAGAAATTGTGTTTGTTTGTTTTGTAGTACTGGGGATTGAACCCAGGACCTTTGCAATGAGCTATGTCTCCAGGTTATTTTTCTTTTTTTTTTTTTTTTGTCTTTGAGACAGTCTCCCTGCATCTTTTAAGTTCCCAGGATGAGTTTGAACTTGTGATCCTCCTGCCTCACCCTCCCAGTTTTTTGTTTTGTTGTTTTGTGGTACTGGGGATTGATCCCAGGACCTTCACAGTGAGCTCCAGCACCAGCTACCCCTCCCCCTTTTTGAGATAGAATCTTGCTAAGTCATCCAGGCTGGACTTGCAGTCTTCTGCCTCAGCTTCCCAGAGTGCTGGGATTACAAGTGGATACCACCAAATCCCACCCCACCACTCTTTTTTTTTTTTTTTAAGTATAGAGTTTAATGAAGTACTCTGTGTTTTGGACACATCAAAAGTTTTCAGTCATCATCTTTTTTTTTTTCCCCATTAACTTTATTGGTACATTTTAGGTATAAAATACAGTTACATTCATCATTGGGATCTTGTACCATTACATGAGTACACCACTCTTTTTTTAAAACAGGATCTCACTTAGTTGCTGGCTTCCAACTGGAGATCCTCCTGTCTCAGCTTCCCAAGTAGCTGGGATTTGAGGCTTACTTCATCAAGCCTAGCAAGGAAAGGATTTTGGTATCAGGAAAGTAATCACTAGTAGATAGGTAATCATCTTGTGTTATCATTAGCTTAGCTATAAATTGTCTAGCCATAAATGATACTAGCCATAAGTTGAAGTTTTGACTACTGAGCAAAGTTTGTTTCACCTGGTACGTATGTATAGAAATCTGTTACAGAAGCAGTGAATTAGTGACCACTAGGGTTGTTGTTACTAAGATACAACTGTAGAGGTCAGTAAAGTACATTAGAGAATTAGTACTATTTACTCTTTCTAAAAATTTTTTTCAAAGTTGAATTTCCCCTCTAAAAATTGTTCTGTGGATTGTCCCAAATTCTTTTGGAGTGCTTATTAATTCAAAGTTTCTAAATTCATATCTTTTAGCTCAGCATGGTGGTGTACAACCTATAATCCTGTGATCCCAGCTACTCATCATTTTCATATGAAGAAGCTGAGGCACAGATATATTAAAAACTTTACACAAGGTTACACAGCTAATAAATTGCTAACTGGAAGTTTAGTGTGCTCAGGCTTATTTGTTCCAGCTTCAAATCAGTCAGATCTGAGTCAGGGCTCTGAACTTCACCGTGTAGCCTCTGAAGTATGCAGATATACTGTTTGTCATTGCAAGTTATAAGTAAAGCTTTTATTTACACATATAGTAATTAGTCTCTGCTGATTTATCAGCCTCTACCCTTAAACTTAAATATTTTGAGATGGGGAAATGGGAAGAAAACCATGTGTTCCCAGCTAAGCATTGGAGTTGTGTTTATGATCAAGATATATGTGTAACACGAACCTGGGAGTTTGTTTTATATTAATCATAATATAATTAATTGTGGGTATAATATTTTACTGTTGGTTTGTTTCTTTAGTTCCTTTTGCTTCCTACCCCTCCCATCAGGTACCCCATGGCTAAGAAGTTCCATGGCAAAGATTAGTTAAAAGTAATACTATTGGGCCAGGGATTTAGCTCAGTAGTTTCACCACCTGTTGTGCAAGCACAAGGACCTGAGTTCGATCCCTGGTACCAAAAAAAAAAGTAATACTATTTTGTGATGTTGTAACAATTGGAAGGGTTCTGGGATCCATATTGGGAATCTGGTTCTAGGTTTCCACTGCTTGCTTTAGGAAGAGAAGTAGGATACAAGCCAGCTCTTAGTTTACCCTCCCCTCTCCCCTCTCCCCCTGCTCCTCTGAGACCATCTTGCCATGCTGTTCAGGCTGGCCTCGAACTTCCAGTGATCCTCCTACCTCAGCCTCCCAAAGGCTGGGATTACAGGTGTGTGCCAGCATGCCTTGCTGTTTCCTTTTTAAAATACTCTGAGGAGTAAAAGTGGAAGTATACTTGAATATTCTATATGGTTGTGATTGTTCTTCGCCTTTTTTCCTGGCATACACATAAAATCGTTATATGCTAATAAGTTGACTGTTGGCTGACCTCTTTTGCGTAGCTTCAGGATAGGGGCTGGTCACTAGAAAGACCAAGACAGAATGAGAAGGTTGAGGCTTGCAGCCCCAACTTCTGGGGACAGTAGTGGCCAAAGGTTAAGTTGCATAGTGATTTAATCAGAATTGCCCAAGTAATAATATAGCTAGTTGGTCAGAAGCCCCCCTAAAAATCCAAGAGGACAGGCTTGGGAGAGCTTCTGAAAAATTAAACATGTGGAGCTTCTTAGAGGATGGCATAGCCAAGAGGGTATGGAAGCTCTATACCATCTCCTACATGCCTTGCCCTGTGTATCTATCTGTGTCCTTTATAATATCCTTTACAATAAACCAGTACATTTAAAGTGTTTCCTTGAGTTCCCTGAGCTGCTCTAGCAAATCAGTGGAATCCAGAGAGGGAGGGGGTCATGGGAAGTTTTTCGTTTTTGCAGTACTGGAGATTAAACGCAGGGCCTTCACACTAAGCTGCACCCTAATCCCCCACCCGCCTTTTTGAGACAAAATCTCATTAAGTTGCCCAGGCTGGGCTCATATTTGTTATCTACTGCCTCAGTCTCCCAAAGTGCTGACTTACAGGCATATGCTTGGCTAGGAACCTTGATTTATAACTAGTTGGCCAGAAGCACAGGTAAAACAACTGGGAGGGGGATCACAGTTGGTATTTGTTTGTTTGGGTGTTTTTTGGTACTGGGGATTGAACTCCGGTCCTTGTGCTTTCACAGCAGGCAGCAAAACCACTAAGCTAAATGCCCGGCCCCACAGTTGGTATTTGAGGTGGGATGGTCTTGTGGGACTGAATCCCCAGACTGTTGGATCTGACACTATCTCCAGATAGATAGTGTCATAATTGAGTGAATTTAGAAGATACCCAGCTGGGAAGAAAGGAAGCAAGAGACAAGAGAAAAAAAGAGAGAGGAAATAGAAGGAAAAAATAGAAACAAAGCTTTTGTATATAGGGGAGGGGGCTTGAGGATAGGGGCATGAATGGGAAAAAGAGGTGGGATGTATCATTACAGATGCAAATTCCCTATGATGAATGATGTCATTAAGTATACCTACAGTGTACCAATAAGTGTTTTGTTATTAAAAAGAAAAAAGAAAAAGATAACGGCTCGTGTCCTCTGCAAAATTGCTTGTGTGATGTGTGAGGGAAACATCCCCCACCCCCAGTCTAGTGTTAGAAGCATGTTGTAAGAACTAGTAAGCTGTAGTATGAACAAACTGAGTTTGTTAATTCATATAGCCTCAGAATGAGTTTGACAGTTTCAGCTGAATGGGAACTGAGTTACAGGAAATTAAAGTACTAGAGAGATCTAATGGGTTATTCTTTAATTTTACAGTTATTCCTTAATTTTACATGGCCATGCAAGAGAAATACCCAAATGAGAGGACGTCTCATGCTACTTCACCAGGTGAGTAATCAAAGTTTTCTGGATTAATTTCTAACTTTTCTTATATTTCATGTTCCTTAAGGGTACTGAGGACATAAGTATTCATTGAAATGCTGGCACTCAATACAGATAACATGAGGCTCATTGAATATAAAAATGGGTCTCTCTGAAAGAATGATTATTTATCTCTGGTCCTACATAGCTTCCAACAAGACCATGTGATTGTTGGGAGGGGAGAACACATAAAGAATTGAAACAGAATAACTTTGTAACATAGTTCCATTTCAAATTAGAAAAACACAGTATAAATTACTGTCTTCTGTGTTGTCTTTGTAGTCCTCTGGGTTGTTCAGTCATCTGCTAGCCCACACAACATTGGAATTCTTGGGTGCCAGCAGTTCTTGTGCTGGCATAGGAGACTGGAGAATTTATCTCTAGCATAGATTAAGAATATTTTGAGGAAGGGAAACAAAAAATGGAGAGAAGAGAGAAGGGGAAGTAGAAAGAATTAAGATACGTTATAAATACCAACTTCCCACAGTGAATATAATTATTATATATTGCAAACATGTACTAATAAAATTTTTTTGGTTTTTATTGGGGGTTTTTTTTGGTACTGGGGATCGAACTCAGGTCCTTGCGCTTATGCAGCAGGTGCGAAACCGCTGAGCTAAATCCCCGACCCCCTTGATAGGTCTTATTTCTGTCTTTGATTATTCTCACATCTCATGCTATTTTCACTTAATATTTTCACTTAATATCTGTGCAGTAGGCACAGAAGAGAGAAAAGGGTGGGGTGTGGCTATTTTCTCATAGCTTTACTTGATTTTTTAAAAATGATCTCAGCTAGTTCACACAAAAGGTGGAAAATGCCTCTTGTTTCAGGTTCCAATGTGATTCAAAAAGGAAGTTCCCTGGGGACTGAATGGCAGACCCCAGTTCTCTCAGAGGCCTTTCGGAGCCGCTTCAGCCGCTGTTCAAGTGTAGCTGACAGTGGGGACACGGCCATTGGCACATCATGCTCAGACATTGCAGAAGGTAAGGTTAGTTTTTTGATACAGGGTCTCACTATACAGTTCAGGCTGGCCTTGAACTGACTATGTAGCCTGGACTGGCCTTGAACTTGCAGTAATCCTCCTGCCTGTAACCACCATGCTTGGCTGCTTGAATCTTCTTAACTGATACTTCTCACACCTCTTCTGTGGTTTTTCTTGATGTGCTGGGATCAAACCAAGGGCCTCAAGAATAGTGGCAAGCACTGTATCACTGAGCTACATCCCTAGCCCCTGAAATAACTTTTTTTTTTTAAACAGTGCTAGGGATTGAACCTCAGGCCCTTTGCACTGAGGTACATCCCCAGCCCTTTTTATTTTTTACTTTGAGACAGGCTCCCACTAAGTTGCTGGATTGTCTAGGCTGGCCTTGAACTTGCTGTCTTTCTGCTTCAGCCTCCCAGAGTGCAGGGATTGTAGGCATGTGCCACCATGCCTAGCTGATCTTCCTTTTTACGTTCTTAGATCTATTATCTCTGCCATTTTTTTCCCCCTTTGGTACTTGGGAATAAATACAGGACCTTCATATAGAACTACATCGCCAGCCCTTTGAAAAAAAATTTTTTTTTTTTTTTTTTTTGTACCGGGGATCGAACTTGGGTTCTTGCACTTGAAAAAATTTTTAAGAATTTGAGACAGGGTCTCACTAAGTCACTAAATTGCCCGGACTGGACTAGAATATGCCCTGCCTCAGCCTCCCAAAATGCTGGGATGACAGGCCTATGTCACCATGCTTGGCTGTATTTTTTTATTTAAATTAAGTACAAACTGCCAGACAGTACTTTACAAGGGCATTTCTATTTAGATGCTGAGTTCCTAGAGGGCAGAAGATCTAATAGTAATCACTGTTACATACTTTGTGATAAGTACTATGCTAAATTTTTCTACATTTGCTCATTAATACTCTTAAGAACTTTATGAAATATTTTACTGTTTCCTTTTTTTTTTTTTGGCACCGGGGATCGAACTCGGGTCCTTGCACTTGGGAGGCAGGTGGCGTACTTTTTCCATTTTACAGATGAAAAAGCTGAATTTCAAATGACTGAATGAGTTGGTTACAACCACAAAGCTGGTCATTTTAATACTTTTAATGTGGGGCCGGGGATTTAACTCAGTGGCACCGTGCCTGCCTTGCAATGAATGACATAAATCCACACAAATGAAAACATAAATCCACACAAAAACTTATACACAGATGCTCATAGTAGCCTTATCATAACAATTAAAACATAGAAACAACCTACATGTTCACAACTGATGAACAGATGAGTAGTATATCCCTACAATACAATAGAATATTATTTGGTAATAAAAACAGATGAAGTACTCGGATGGTGCCAGTTGGACAGACTTTAACATTATGCTAATTTTTTTTTTTTTTTTTTTTGTGCAACTGAGGATCGAACTCAGGACCTTGCACTTGCCAGGCAGGTGCTGGCGCACTGAGCTAAACCTCCAGCCCATTATGCTAATTATTTAAAAAGCCAGGAACACAAGGCCACATATTGCATGGTCATTTAGATGAAATGTCCACAAATAGGTGAATGCCCTGGGAAATTTAGGGGAAATGGAGCATCTACTGTTAAAGAGTAAGAGGTTTCTTTCTGGAGTTATGAAAATATATTTATTTGGGGTTTTTTTGGTACCGGAGATTGAACTCAGAACCTTGTGCTTTTGAGACAGGTGGGGACACCACTGAGCTAAATCCCTGGCCCTGGAGTTATTAAAATATAAAAGCTTATCATAGTGATAGTTACACAGCTCTATAAATATGCTAAAAACTGTTGAATTATGTACTTTAGGTGGGTGAGTTTACAGTGTATGAGTTACATCTCAAAGTTATTTAAGAAAAGAGTGGGGCTGGGGGTATAGCTCAGTGGTAGAGTGCTTGCCTAGCATGTGTTTGATCTCTAGCATGGCAGAAAAAGAATAGCTGGGTGTGGTGGTGCATACTTGTAATCCTAGCACTGGGGCAGCTGAGGCAGGAGGATTGCCACAAGTTTGAGGCCAGCCCGGGCTACATAGTGAGTTCAAGGCCAGAGTGAACTATATAGTGAGACCCTGTCTCAAAAAACGGAAAAACAAAACAAAATAAAAAAGAATAGAAATGTTTGGAAAAGATAAAGGAATGAAAAGGGAAAGAGGGAAAAAACCCTACATCTAATACTAACTCCTAGACACCTATCACTAATTTTAATAGTTTGATAACTGAGTGTATATGTGAACTGTGCTTAGCAAATGTTGTGTAAAATTGAGTTACAGATTTTGAAGTAGACAGGATTTTAAATCATTCTAACTCCTTGTTGCTAGTGAATAACAGAAATTCCCTTAGGGGTTAAACAGCTTGCTTAAGGTCCCTCAGCTGGTTATTAGATTCTGATCTCATGACCGTAAGGTTTTTGTTTTTCTTGTACTGAGGAGGCAGGTGCTTTACCACTGAGCTACACTGCTAGCCTTGACTGTAATATTCCTTCTATCAGTTCTATAATTAAGGATGTTGTTACTTGTTTTGTTTTGTTTTGTTTTTTGAGATAGGGTCTCACCATGTGGTCTAGGCTGACCTCAAATTCTCAGCAGTCCTCCTGCCTCAGCCTCTTGAATGCTGGGATTATTGGTGTGTGCCACCACACCCAACTGTATTTGTTTAATTTTGACTTAAGATTTTTCTCTACATGTGCAGTCATGGGACCTTTTCATTTTGACCAATAGGTATTTTAAAAAATCAAACAGACAAACAAACAAAAAATCAAACATTGGTCTGGATGTTTCCCCCGGTAAATTGATTGGCTATATTTAATTCACATTGTTAAACAGATTGTGTGTGTGTGTGTGTGTGTGTGTGTGTGTTTTGTTTTTGAGCCAGGATCTCACTATGCAGTTCTGGCTGGGTTTGAGCTCACTCTGTAGTCCAGGCTGGTCTTGAACTTGTGGCAATCCTCCTGCCTCAGTCTCCCAAGTTTTGGGATTACAGGTATGTGCCACCACCCCAGATTCTTTATTCAGTTTTCTTTTTTTTTTCTTTTTTTGGTACTGGGAATCGAACTCGGGTCTTTGTACTTGTGCAGCAAGCGGTGAAACCACTGAGCTAAATCCCCAGCCCCTTTATTCAGTTTTCTACCTGTTAAAAGTAATAGCAGGGCTGGGGATTTAGCTCAGTGGTTCCACCACCGCCTGGCTCGCAAGGACCCGAGTTTGATCCCCGGAACCAAAAAAAAAAGTAATAGCAGATACGGGCTGGGGATTTAGCTCAGTGGTTCTGCCGCCTGCCTCACAAGCACAGGGACCCGAGTTCAATACCGGGTACTAAAAAAAAACCTAATAGCAGATATGTGACCTTACAGTCTCATCTTATCTGTAACCCACTGGCCTAGTACATCCATTTTGTGACCTTGTAATCTTCCTCAAAGTATACTTGAAAGTTGGAGATAGGTAGAAATGTGAACCTTCTGCAGCCAGGCTGGTCAGAGTTGTTTCCCAAGACCAGACAGAAGCCATAGGAATTACAAATGTAGTCTGAAGGAAAAACTTAAAACAAACAAGGGGGAAGTAAAAGACAAACTATAAAATAGAGGATTTCAGTGTGTACTCACTTGAGAATGTTCACTGTGCTAGAGTGAAACCTGAGCGTTGCTAAGAATAACTTCCATATCCGGGCAGTCAGGTCTGGGGTATGGGAGAGAGAACAGAATCCTGACTCAGATGCTGTGCTCCCTGCTTGGATACTAAGCAGGACTGTCTGGTTCACCTTATTCTTTGAATAATCCAGTTTCATTGCTCACTTTCAATCTGAAGCTTTTGAAAGCTACAGCTGATTCTGGTACCCCCTTGGAAAGGATATTTTTAGATTGGATTGTAGTTTCTGGAGTTTTCCAGCTTTCAGAAGAGCAGGACCTAATTCATTTCACTTAAAGTAAGTGATTTTTTTTTTAAGTTCACTTTCCAGCTTTGCTTATTGACTGCAAGATTTTAAAATCAAGTATAAAAGAGTATAAATTTAAAAATGAAGCTATTGTTACCTTTTGTTGATTTAACTTGTGTATTGCATTTGAAATCCTAGAACACACATCTACCAGGTAGGCTGCTGTGTCTTTCTGCCTTGTACTTCTAATATTAGTACCCTTTCTGCCCAGTGGAAGGACAGGCAGAGAACATCTGGCATAACAGCCAAACTCAAGAAAATTTGCTGCTTCAATTTTGACTTACAGAAGACTATTCTCTCCACAGATTTTTGCAGCTCAAGTGGCAGCCCTTCTTTCCAGCCTATTAAAAGTCACATAACCATTCCAACAGCCCATGTGATGCCTTCTACTTTGGGGACCTCTCCTGCCAAGCCAAATTCTACACCTGCTGGATCTTCTTCCTCCAAACTCCCTTTGTCAGGGTTGGCTGAAAGTGTGGAGATGACAAGAAATGGAGAATTTGGTGCAGTGAAACGTTCTCCAGGCCTGTCTAGAGATCTCATGTATCTCTGTGGTGCTACACGGGAAAATGGGATTGAGCAGTCTCACTGGTTTCCAGCAGTGGGCCATGAAAGAGAGGAAGAGATGAGGAAGTTCGATGTTCCTAGTATGGAACCTACCGTCAATCAATCCGTCATTATGGATACACTTTATTCAGATCCCCACTACCGGGTCCACTTCCACAATCCAAGAACTGATCCAAACAAGGAGTTGTATAAAGTATTACCTGAGGCCAAGAAGGCACCAGGCAGTGGGGCAGTATTTGAGAGGAATGGACCACACTCTAGCAGCAGTGGAGTGCTCCCTTTGGGACTCCAGCCTGCTCCTGGGCTTTCCAAGCCTCTGTCCTCTCAAATGTGGCAACCAAGTCCTGACCCTTGGCATCCCCGAGAGCAATCTTGTGAACTCAGTACTTGTCGACAGCAGCTGGAGTTAATCCGTTTACAGATGGAGCAAATGCAGGTAGAAACCTTTCTTTCCTTGGAATTTGTAGATTGTACATGGTTATTAGAGCTGTATAACCTTTACCCTATAAGGCTTTTTTTTTTTTAATTTTGAGAAAGGTTCTCACTAAATTGCCCAGGTAACGTCAAACTTGCAGTCCTTCTGCCTTAGCCTGCCAAAGTGCTAGGATTATAGGTGAGCACCACCACACCCAGCTTACCCTATAAATTTTTTGTTTCATTTATTTGTTTATTTATTAGTACCGGGGATCAAACTCAGGACCTTGCGCTTATGAGGCAGGCACTGCACCACTGAACTAAATCCCTGACCCTGTTTGTTTATTTTTTGAGACAGGGTATCTATATGTAGTTCAGGCTGGCCTTGAACTTACTATGTAGCCAGGGCTGGCCTCAAACTCATGGCAGTCCTCCTGCCTCAACCTCCAGAGTTCTGGGGTTACAGGCATGTACCGCCACATCCATCTCTACCCTATAAATTTTAACTCTAAAGAGAACGACTATTAAGAAATAAGATATTGGTAGATAGGAAATGAAAGCTTGTAAGCTCTGGGCCATTGAATCTGTTGATGGTCTAATCAAACACCAGATAGGCTCATCAAAGTAAAATTACAAGGGAAAACCCAAAAAGGTAGGAGACGAACATTAATTGCATATTTACCTACAGTGGTACCTTGGTACTCGTTGTTACTTGGTTCCAGGAGGCTTAGAGTAACAAAAACAAGTACCAAATAGATTGTTTTAGCTGAAAAGGGTAGCAAGTCATGAGGCAGTCAACACTAGTTCCAGCTTGCATGTCAAGACCAAACAACAAGACCAGGACTAAATTTTCATGCTAGAATGTACTGAATACCAAATCCAACAATTTTCAGTGCAATCACTTACCAAGATATGACTGTATATATATAACAGTCACTAGACTCGGTACTTCATGTAGAGAATTTGGTTTAGTTCTCCTAGCTCTAATGAGGTAAAGGTAGGAATTTACCAGGTCCTTAGAATAATCTGTCCAGGGTGACAAAGCTGATAAGTAGCAGAGCTAAGTTTTAAAAATCACCTTTGAGGGCTGGGAATTTAGCTCAGAGGTTCTGGCAACTACCTCACAAGCACAAGATCCCGAGTTCGATCCCCAGTACCAAAAAAAAAAAATCCCCTTTGATCCCATGTGTTCTTTTCATTATACCCCTTTTGTATTTCTTTTCATGTCCTCAAGCAGCTACAGAGTGGAAAGGAAGGAAGCAGGACATATTTACCTTCCCTGGTTGGTGAGGATATCTTAGCTCCTAGTTTGCCTCTATTGCCAGATAATAAAAGATAACTGACCTTAGAAACTAGACTCTGAACAAGGAGTGTTTAGTTGGCAGAAACCTCTCTGGCAGGTTCTTTCCAGTCATACATCAGAGCTAAAATTATTTCGTAAACATTGGCCTTACCAGGCTGAGCCAAACTGGGCCTTGACTCCAGACCCAGCTAGTACTATTCAGGTGTTTTTAGGTGCTTATAGTCAAAATCAAGCCCCTCTGTCCTGTTTGTCTTCCAGCTTCAGAATGGAGCCATCTGCCATCATCCTGCTGCTTTTGCTCCTTTACTTCCCACCCTAGAACCAGCACAGTGGATCAGCATTTTGAACAGTAATGAACACCTTCTGAAGGAAAAGGAACTTCTCATTGACAAGTAAGATGGCAAGGGGTGCTGCAAGGCCAGCCTCTGCTCTCCCAGGTCCCTCTGAGGACACCTAATGAGGTCCTCCCAAGGGCAGTACACTCCTTCGTGTTCACGCCCACACCTTGCCTTACAGTAGAGGTAGGTTGATAAATTGCCTGTTCGTGTATCTGTGAAACACAAGTTGTGTATTTCTCCAGGGGTTAGCTGATTTCTTGCCGCTGATCTTTTCTCATTTTCCCTCAGTCATTTTTCTCCTTTGTGTGTGTGTCCATAGGAGGGGTGGTACTGGTGGTACTGGAGGCTGCTCTGCCACTGAGCTATATCCCAACCCACCTTTTAAAAATAATTAATTTATTTTATTTTGAGACAAGATCTCACTAAGTTACCTAGGTAAGACTTGAACTTATGATCCTCCTGCTTCAGCTTCCCAAAGTGCTGAGATTATGGGAATGTGCCTCTGTACTTAGGTAGTCGTATTTCTCATTTGTTTTTCTTCAGCAGAGTTTAATGTTCAAAATCAAAGTTTTTGCTTATATAGTAGGGATCATTAGTCGTCTATCTGAGGAAAGTAGGGACTTGTATTATAAGGGGCTTAGTATTAGTATCCAAAGATGTTTGTACTGGCTTTTTTTTTTTTTTGTACCGAGGATCAAACTCAGGACCTTGCGCTTGTGAGGCACGCACTGTGCCACTGAGCTAAACCCCTGGCCCTCTACTGGCTTTTGCAGGCAGAGGAAACACATCTCTCAGCTGGAGCAGAAAGTTCGAGAGAGCGAACTACAAGTCCACAGTGCTCTTTTGGGTCACCCTGCCCCCTTTGGGGATGTCTGCTTGCTGAGGCTGCAGGTAAGCATTAGCAGCCAGGGTGGCATTTTGCTTGTCACAACTTTGTGTTTTCCCTGTGCTTGGCACCATCTCTTAGATCTCTTAGATAAGAGATGCAAAAGGGATCAAAGAGTAAACATATTATAAAGCACCCTTTGTTGTGCCCTTGTGAGGTTGGAAAAGGCCTGAAGGGAGGATCAGGCGAAAGTCTGGATGCCTTGGTGTCAGGACATACTTGGAAGGAAAGGAAAGCAGAACGAGATAGATGGTAATTTCCTAGTATTGGGTGATATTATGAGAAGTCTTAATCTGTGAGCCCTGGCCCAAACAGAGGGAGAGACAGAGGCCAGGGAGATTTAGAGTGATTTTCATTTTTATTCTTCCATGCTAGAAGAAGCAATTGAAAACAACCATATTCTTTTTTCTTTTTTTTTTTTTTTTTTTTTGGTACCGGGTATTGAACTCGGGTCCTTGCGCTTGCGCAGCAGGCAGCAAAACCACTGAGCTAAATCCCCGACCCAGCAAGCATATTCTTATGGAGGTCAATGTGTATGGGGTTTGAGTTCTTGAAAAGAAGCGTGTGTATGTGTGTGTTTGGTTGTTTTGAGACAGTCTCAATGTGTAGTCCAGGCTGGCCTCGAACTCAAGGCAGTCCTCCTGCCTCAACCTCCAGAGTACTGGGATTACAGGCGTGCACCACCACACCTGGTAAGGCCTGCTTATTGACTGAGTTTTCATACCTTGGGCTTTTGAGTGAGAGTATTAGATAGGCTCTAGTACTATCTTTGCCACATAGTGGGCCTGTTAAGGCAATATTCCATCTTACAGAATCAGGATGTTAGAGTGGGAAGGGCCTTTAGGCAGAAATCTGGTTTAGACCTCTGATTTACTGATGACAAATATTGAAGTCCAGGAAGGAGGAAGTACTTGCCTAATAAGATCAGATAGAAAATAAATGAAGGAAGTGTCAGGCCCCAAACCCAGGTCTTCTGATGTCTTGTCCTGCATTCCTTCCACTATCTACTACAGTTCCTCAGATGTTGCTTTAAAGCAGTGGTTCTCAAACAGCAGTGTGCATCAAAATCATCTGGAGAATTTACTACAACACAGATTATAATGATCCATCCCCAGAGTTTCTGATTCAGGGGGCCTATGACTAAAGATCTAAAATTTGCTTTTCTAAACAAATTCTAGCATCAGGTGATACTATTTGTCCTTGTACCATATTTTGAGAAGCATTGCTTGGAGAAAGATGATACTTGACCATGAAGTGTGCTGAGAATAAGTAAAGTACAGTATACGGGGTTGTAAGGGTAGGAAACAGTTAACATCTTAAGTATCTTTCTGGCAGGAATTGCAGCGAGAGAACACTTTCTTACGTGCACAATTTGCACAGAAGACAGACACCTTGAGCAAAGAAAAGATTGAGCTTGAAAAGAAACTTTCTGCTTCAGAAGTTGAAGTCCAGCTCATCAGAGAGTCTCTTAAAGTTACACTGCATAAGCATTCAGAGGAAGAGAAGAAACAGGAAGAAAGGGTGAGCTGAGGAGTTGATGGCTCTCTAATCTACAAGGGTGTTGGCAGTCAGCCCTCTCTGCCAACAGCCTAAGCCGTTTCTGCCCCACTCTTGGAACCAGGGGAAGCCAGTTAGGTGAGACCCTTCATTGGCTTCATGCAGGACCTATTTACTGGAAATGAAACCCCTCATTTCTTCCTCATCTTCACAAAAATACCCTAGTCAGGGAAAGTTGTATAATCCCTCACTGTCCCAGGTTGTAAGGTGCTGCCAGCTGTCCTAGGTGGAAAACCAGCCTGTGCTATCATACCAGGTGTCACTGTTGGAAGATGTTTGAATACCTATGGTAAATTTATTCCACCCAGTCTGCTTTCATCTCATTCTATCTAAAAAAGTATCTAAAGGATCTCACCCTATCTAAAAATTCCATATGCATGCTACTTTGGAAGTTTATTTCTCCCAATGTTAGAATTTCCAGGGCCAGGGATTTAGCTCAGTGGTTCTGCCGCCTGCCTCAAAAGCACAAGGTCCCAAGTTCAATCTCCAGTACCAAAAAAAAAAGAATTTCCATAGAGCTTCCTCTAAAGCCCATCTTCTTGGGCTTTAGCAGTGTTTAACTCTGGAACATTTGTATCAAAATCAACTAGAATAGTGTTTCTCAATTTTTTGTTGTTGTTGGGTTTTTTTGGTACTGGGGATCGAACTCTGGACCTCGTGCTTACGAGGCAGGCTCCAGAACCACTGAGCTAAATCCCCAGCCCAATTTTTTTTTTTTAAAAGACATAGTCTTGCCATGTTTCTTAGGCTAGTCTCAGACTCTTGGCCTTAGCGATCTTCATGCCTCAATCTTTGGAATAGCTGAGACTACAGATATGTGCCACACAGCCTGACTTCTCACACTTCAGTGTGTTTAAGAATTACTTGGGGCCTGGGGATTTAGCTCAGTGGTTCCAGCACCTGCTTCACAAGCCCAAGGTCCTGAGTTTGATCCCCGGCACCAAAAAAAAAAAAAAAAAAGAATTACTTGGGTTAGGGCAGGGAATTTAGCTTAGTGGTGCACGGCTACCTCCCAAGCACAAGGTCCTGCATTCAATCCCCAGCACCAAAAAAAAGAATTACTTGGCCAGGGATTTAGTTCAGTGGTTCCATTGTCTGCCTTGCAAGTGCAAGGACCTGAGTTTGATCCCCGGTACCAAAAAAAAAATTTCTTTTGGGCCAGGGATTTAGCTCAGTGGTTTCGCCGACTGCTGCACAAGCGCAAGGACCCGAGTTCAATCCCTAGTACCAAAAAAAAAAAAAAAAGAATTACTTGGGTTAGGCATGGTGCCATATACTTGTAATTCCAGCTCCTCAGGAGACTGAGATAGGAGGATTACAAGTTCGAATCTAACTTGGGCAGTTTAGTACCTTAGCAAGACCCTGTTTCAAAATAAAAAGGCCTGGGTTCGGTCCCCAAGTATCCAGAGTGGTAGGGTGAGGAGAAGTATCATTTGGGCCAGATGCAGTGGCACATGCCTGTAATCCCAGCTACTAGGGAGGCTGAATTAAGAAAGAAAACAATGAAAGCAAATTTTCGTTTAATGAAAACTCAGGATTAAAGTTCAGAAGTACCCAATACTTTTCATCTTTTGAAAACATGTTAAAAACTCAAGCCAGGTATGATGGCACATGCCTGTAATCCTGGGACTCAGGGTACTTGAGGCAGGAGGATCATGAGTTTGAGCTTGAGCTACATAGTGAGTTCAAGGCTAGCCTGAACTACATAGTGAGACCTGTCTCCAAAAAAAAAAAATGTCTTACACACTTTTGTCTCTTCTGCTTTTTTTTTTTTAGATTAATATTTTATTTCCTTCCTGTCATTTGGTAGATACATTTTTGAAGAGAAACATCTGTGGTGGTCAGTTTTACTTTTTTTAAATCAAAAATGGGTTTTCAGCATTTTCAGTAACCTTCCCAGGTGATTCTGATACATATTGAATGTCAGAATCACAGGTTTGGAGCTTGAAGGGTACAGATTAGAAATGGGATAAAACTAGGGCCGGGGATTTAGCTCAGTGGTTCCACCGCCTGCCTCGCAAGTGCAAGGTCCTGAATTCGATCCCCAGTACCAAAAAAAAAAACCAAAAAAGAAATGGGATAAAGCTTTTGGGCTGAATTTCAAAGATCATTTTTAATACTGCATGTCTTTGTATGGGAGTAAGCCTGTACTCTTCGATATCAGTTATCAGCCTCATTTTTTTTTGTTTTCTTTTGCTCCTCCAACTTTCCTGTTCATAAGTGAAAGAAATCTCCAACTCTTTGTGTTTGTGTACATGTGTGCATATGTGTGTGTGTTACCTGCGATTAAACCCAGAGCCTGTGCACTGAATTACATCTCTAGCCCTTTTTATTTTTTTTTAATTTTTAATTTTTTTTCTTTTTTTGGTACCGGGGATCAAACTCAGGTCCTTGCGCTTTTGAGGCAGGTAGCAGAATCACTGAGCTAAAGCCCCGGCCCTCTTATTTTTTTATTTTGAGACAGTCTTGCTAAGTTGCCCAGGCTGAGCTTGAATTGAGTGCCTGCTCTTTGCTAAGCATCATACTATGTTTTATGATATTTAGCAAAATGGATCTAGCCCTTCCTGTCAGAGTTTATAGTCTCATAAGCCCTTTCACATGATTGCTCAGCTTTATATTATGTGTGGTTTGTAGGCAAGAGTTTATTACCTTTCTCAACAGAACATCCAGAGTTAACGCACCTGAACTTTCCTGTATGTCTGTAGGGAAGTTGTGTATACTACTGAAATTCAATTCTGAGGCAGACCACCTGGATTAACACTGGACTCCACACAAGTTTAAGGGCACTGTCTCCAACAAGATACACTTACTTCAGATGACAACTGCAAGTTCTGAGGTCCCCAGGCCACCTGTACTGACCAACTTACAAATCCAGGGATTCCTGTGACCCTTTCAATAATTCTCTAGACCAATTTTCAGAACTCCAGAAAACACTATACTTACGATTATAATTTGCTTATTTGTTGTTTTTGAGCTGGGTATCTGAGATTGTTTCCTAGGCTAGAATCAAACCCCTCCACTCAAGTAATACTCCCCACTCAGCTACCCAGTCTGTTTACAGTCTTAGTATAAAGGATACAGTTCAGGAATGCCCAGATCAAGAGAGATACAGGCTGAGGTCTGGGAGGCTCCTAAAAGCAGCTCCATCTTCATGGGGAATGAGGATGTGTGGACCCTCCCAGCATATCCATATGTTTATTCTCTAGGAAGCCCACCAAGCTTAAGTGTCTAGAGTTTTTATTGGAGTTTCATTATTTAGGCCCTGTCCTGCTTCTCCTGTTCCTGCAAGAGATTTACTCATACAAGTTTATCTTTACTGATGACCAACCCCATTCTTGAGTGCTCCATTAGGATAAATTCACTCAGTGATAGACTCTGGTCCTTTATGCATAACAAAGACACTGTCCTATTCAGAAAATTCCAATGGCTTAGAGGTCACCTCTAGAACCTACAGAACAGATTATTTATTATAAAACAGAAGTACTACCAGTTTGGTTTTTTTTTCTTGGTACGGAGCGAGGATTGAACTTAGGACTTTGTGCTTGAGAGGCAGGCACAGTGCCACTCAGATAAATTCCCAGCCCAGTACTACCAAATTTTGTGGGGAGCGGGTACTGGGGATCAAACTCGGGTCCTTGCGCTTGTGGGGCAGGCAGCGGAACCACTGAGCTAAATCCCCGGCCCAGTACTACCAATTTTTAGAACTGCCTTTGGAGCCCTTCATCCCTGCCCTTGACAGGAAAACTTAGGTGTGTTAACTCTGCAGTTTATGCCTTAATCTCAAATGGCAGAATTTGTTGGAACTTCCTGCCTTCATTGCAGCACAACAAATTGTCTTGAGGACAGAGACAATGGTCACTTTGAAAAAAATTGATGTTCAGGGTCCTAGAGGAGTGAATAGAGACAGACTCTTTAACATTTCTTTCCCTAGGTCAAAGGTCGTGATAAGCATATCAATAATTTGAAAAAGAAATGTCAGAAGGAATCAGAGCAGAACCGTGAGAAGCAGCAGCATATTGAGACCTTGGAGCGTTACCTGGCTGACCTGCCTACACTAGAAGACCATCAGAAGCAGAGCCAGCAGGTAGTAGCAATGTCTGGGCATACGTGGGGCAGAGCAGGAGTGGCTGGGCAGAAGGACTTTCTCGTTATTTTCTGTGCACATCCTAAAAGGCTACTTCCTAAAGGAAAATCTTGAAAGAGTCACGTCTAGATTCACATCTGCAAAACTGGACTGAAAATGTTTTGAGGTATCCATTCAGTCTTCTGTTTCTTATTGATCTAAGCATGAGATCTTCTCTCTTAGCTTAAGGATTCTGAGTTGAAGACCACAGAGCTCCAAGAGAGAGTGACTGAGTTGGAGAGTTTGCTGGAGGAGACCCGGGCAACCTGCAGAGAGAAGGAGATTCAGCTGGAAAGCCTAAGACAGAGAGAAGCAGAATTCTCCTCCACTAGACATAAGTAAATACTCCTGTGGGATTGAGGGAAGGAGGGGAGAGCTCAGTTCTGGTCCTCACTACCCCCACTTACTTACCTGTATGACTTTAAGTGGTTGTACGCATTTGCTTACATCTCTGAGCTTCATTTTCTTTGGATTGTGAATGATAAAAAAGCTAATGATGGGCAAGAACTATGGGATAGAGTAGAATGTATGTGTGGTGGTTTAGTGGGTGCTTACCAGTGTCTTTTGGGAGGATCCAACTCAGTGCCTGGCATATAATAATCCTTGAGTACTATATATTGGATGAATGAAAACACTTCATAAACTAGGAAACAGGGTATCTGTATATTTTCAAAAATAGATCCTGGTACTGAAGTCTGGGGTTATCCACATTTCAAACCTTTTATGCTATAGGCTGTCAGTAGCATCTGTTTGTTCTCAGCCCCAGAATTGCTGTCAATTTCAGGACAGTTTCTGAGAAAAAAAACAACATGCTATAATGTGCTCTCAGAGTGTCTTGGGAGTTCCTTCATATTAATAGCAGCTTCTGAAAATGATGGCTGTGTTTCAACAGCCTCTTGGACTAAATGTAGTTCCTAATGGATGGATGGATTTCCCATCCCATATTCAACCACAGTGACCCTGTTGTTTATCTTAGCATATAAGCCATGATGGAAGTGATTGTGAGGAACCCAATGGAGGAGGCCATTGATTGGAATCAGAAGCAGAGTTAGGGGACAAGGTTGGCTCTGACCTAGACTATACATGCTAAGAAAAAGAATTCTTTTGTATTTTCCAAAATTCCTACAATGTACATGTATGACTTTTATAGTCTAGATATATGTGATGAATGATTATTTTTTATATATCAAAACAAAACAGCCTTTGGCAAGTAGAGAATTGATGCCACATTGGTAGATTCTTCTCATAGGACAGACAACCAACATGCTGAGTATCTTCTTACAGCCCACCCTACAGTACAAAAGACTTAGGGCCGGGGATTTAGCTCAGTGGTTCCGGTACCAAAAAAAAAAAAAAGACTTAAGACATCATCCTCATCTACAACCTAGAGGGGCCTAAGTAAGTGTCTTATCTCAGACATGCAATAAATAGTAGAACCAGGACTCAAAGCCATGTTATTTTTGACTTCAGAGTTCTTGAACAGGCTATTGTCTTTCAGCCTGCAAGATAAGCAGTCTGTGGGAGAAGCTGGTGGAGAAGATCCCAAAGTGGAAATGGAGTCCCTGCAGAAGGAATGTGGTTCCCTCCGAAAGGTGACTAAGGGTGTCTAAACTATGAGGTTTAGTCTGAGAGGAAAGAGAAGATTGTGGAGCCAGATATGGGCATTGGTGACACACATCAGTAATCCCAGTAACTTGGAAGGCTGAGCCAGAAAGATTACAAGTTCAAGGACAGCCTGGGCAACTTGGTGAGACTGTCTCAAAATAAAATTTTAAAGGGTCTGGGAGTGTAGCTTAATAGCAAAGTGCTTGTCTAGCATGCACAAGGCTCCAGGTTCAATCTCTAGTACTGAATGAATGAATGAGAGAATTTGGTACTTAAAAGGAACCATGAATTCTTGGCCTTAGGCTACCAAGGATCTGCTAACAATAGCCTTTCTCTGTTTTCTAAATTTCCCCCTGCCTTGTGTTTTGTTTTATTTTATTTTATTTTATTTATTTATTTTTTTTCCCAGTACTGGGGATCAAACTCAGGATCTTGTGCTTGTAAGGCAGGCGCGGTGCCACTGAGTTAAATCTCTGGCCCTAAGCTTGCACTTTAGATATTCAACCTATGATAGGCAAACTGTACTTATCAGAAATTTAGGCCAAAGTTAGGAAGGAGCTGATCATGTTGGTGTATCCTTGAAAGCCTAGCACAAGAGGCTGAGGCAGGAGGATTGCAATTTGAAGCCTTGCCTGGGCAACTTAGTGATTTAGTGAGACGTTGTCTCAAAATAAAAATTAAAAAATGGCTTGGGATGTAGCTCAGTCAAAGGCCATGGGTTCAATTCAGTACAGTAAGCCCCCAACTTACAAACATTCAAGTTGTAAACTTTCACAGATGTACTGTATAAGACTCACTTTGTTGGCTTACAAATGAATTTGATTACAAACAATTCTCCTGGAATTCGTTCATAAGTTGGGGACTTAATGTACTACTTAATGTACCACCACCAAAACAATTTAGGAGAACATACCTCTCAACATCGAGACTAGAAGACCCAAAGTGGTATACCAAAGCTTGGTACACTTCAGTCAGGGCTCAGGTCCATACTTGCATTAGGCAGAGTTCTAATCAGCAAAGTGGCCTGATTTCTCAGTTATCAGAGAAGGGCCAGTCTGTGGCTTGCTGGTGAGACTGTGTAGATCATCAAAGAAGACCCAAAAATGGTTCAGAGAACACCTATGGAAGTGGGGGCTATTCAGGGTCTCTCCTTGGATGGTCAGTGTGACCATAGTTCTAACCAACCTGGAGGCTTGCAGTCATTAGGGTGAGGGTTCCTCCTACTTCTAGTAGTGGTCATGGGTCGACACTGCATTCTTGTGTAAACCTCTGGGTGACTGGAGCATAGGAGTCATACAAGTGTGAAGCTGGATAGTCAAGATCAGGTATCTGAGTAAAATTTCTCTAGGCAGAGCTAACTAGTCTTGTTCTCCCAATTAATGGGCTGTAGCTAGAAGACCTGATGCCCAAACCACAGATCTTGGTGTAACCCTTGTTCTCTGACCACAACATCAGCCTTGTATGTGGAGCCTTCTTTGATAATTTTGCCTTTCAGATTTTGGAGAAGCAGCAGCAGAAGATGGATCAGTTGCGCTTACAAGTTCAGGTGAGCTATGAGTCATTGGGCTTTGGAGGGTAGGACATAATGATGGAAACCCTTCATTCTGTTCTCTGCTGTGCAGCTTGCTTGGCATTAGGGATTCAAGAAGAATGTAACTCGCTCAGTCCTTTAGAGTCTGCAGTCTTGTGGGTAGGACAGATATGAGGGGAACTTCACCATGGTGCTTTGAGAGCAGTGCTCACCTCACCCTGGGGGTGAGCACAGAAGAATCAGTGAGGGAAGGCCAGCAAGGAAAGGGTTCTGGAGTTCCTGAGCCTTGAAGGGTGAGGAGTTAGCCAGGCAAAAAAGAGGAGCTGGGAAGGATGGCACTGGAATTCCAATAGGAAGAACATGGAGGCATGAAACAGCATGGTTTGAACGTGGACTTGAAAGAGGTTGATATTGTTGAAATAGTGTCATCTACCACTTAATGACCAGGATCCCTTTCTTTTTTTTTTTTTTTTTGAAAAATGATGTTAGTTGATTCCATCATTGTACAAATATTATAGAATGTACTTTCGTAGACTAAGCATCACTGGACAGTATCTTATGAGACCACATTCACATATGTAGTCCATGGATCAAAACAGCATTATGCAGTGCATGGCTATTGTTTAAGGCAATCAGTGGAGAGCTGGGGGATCTGACCTATGGAAAGGGGCCTTCTATTTTCTATCTGACTGTGTTGGTGTTTAATCTTCAGGTATGTGATGAGATCTCTTAGAGCATTTAGTTGGGGCACGATATGGTCAAGTTTGCAACTCAAGCTTGAGTGTGGCAGAGTGGCAGCAACCTGGAGAGAGGCACCACCAAAAGTCTTACAGAGTTCATCGCTTCTCGGCCTTTTGGCTAAGATCAAGTGTAAAAGTCTTACAGAATTCAGAATGAGGTGATGAGGGAACAGAGTGTTGCAGGAAGAAGATGTGAAGAGACAGATTGAAGTAGTGACTTTTAGGAGGAATTGGAGACTGATAGGATGTAAGGAGTTGAAGAATAGAGAAGAACCAAAGACTGCTCCTGGCTTCTATTTTAGGTCAGAGGGGCCATATCTTTAATTGGGTTCTTCAAGAAATTTTGAGTGAAGCTGGTTCACTCAAGTTCTCTTTGGGTGCTAAAATACATGAAATGCACTCACTCTGAGGGAGAACTGGCAGCTGTAGTCCTGCCTTGGCCATTGTATGGATTAGGCTCTGTTTTCTTTAGTTCACTTCTTTCAAGTCCTGTAAGGAGATAGTCAAGCCCAGTATCAAATTATGTATTAATTTAAGATGTCAGGTTTTGGGGGAGACCGAGGGAGGAAGATTGCAAGTTCAAGACCAGCCTGGGCTACATAGTGAACCCTAGGCCATCCTGGACTACACAGTGAGACTTGGTCTCAAAATAAAAGCGGAGTGTGGCAGCACACACCTGTGATCCCAGCACTCTGGGAGCTTGAGGAAGGAGGGGGCCACATTTGAGCCCAGCCTGGGCAATTTAATGAGATCCGTCTCAAAATTAAATTTTTTTTAAAAGGCCCGGGGATGTAGCTCAGTATAAAAGCCCTGAGTTTGATTCCCAGTACTGCAAAAATAAATAGGTAGATGGGTGGATGGATAGATAGATAATTTTAACGTCAGGTCTTTAGTAGAGTTTTTAATGGATCTCAAAGTAAATTTCCAGGAACCCTAAAGTTTGATGAAAGTTGGAAAAGCCCACCCTTTATTATTTTATTATTTTTTGGTGTGGGAGATTGAACCCAGAGACTCACATGCCAAGCACATGGTCAACTACTATACATCTTTAGTCCTAAGCCTAACATTTTAAATTTTACACTTACCCATGATGAGACTATTCAGGCAATTTAAAATGTCACATGAATTTCTGAGAGTAAGGTGGATTGATCATGGTCACCTTGGGTATTTCATGGTCATGAGGTATTTTCCTTGACAGTTACATTTTTGTTTTGTTTTGGTTTTTTGGGGGGTTTTTTTGTTTTTGTTTTTGGGTTTTTTTGGTACTGGGGATCGAACTTGGGACCTTGCTCTTTTGAAGCAGGCGGCAGAACCACTGAGCTAAATCCCCAGCCCTGACAGTTACATTTTTTATTAACATAGAATGGGAAACTGTAAAAAATTTTATACATTATTTGTTCAAATAAGTTTTATAATTGGGAGAGTGTTGGAATAATAGAAAGAGAGGTAAGATAAAAAACTTTAAAGTATTTCCCTCCCTGTGACTTTGACCAACACACACAAACACACACACACACACACACACACACACACACACACACACACACACACACACACACACGATGAGATGCCTGTGAGTGTGCCCTTCTCCTTTCCATCTATCAAAACATTTCATGGCTGGGGATCTAGCTCCGTGGTTCTGGTGCCTGCCTCGCAAGCGCAAGATCCTGAGTTCAGTCCCCAGTACCCCCCCAAAAAACATTTCAAGGCCAGGGATTTAGCTCAGTGGTTCCACCACCTGCCTCGAAAGCACAAGGTCCCAAGTTTGATCACCAATACCAAAAAAAAAATTTCATACACAGTATCTATCAGGCTCTTAGCTCCTGACAGACAGGGACTATTTGGTGTTCTTTTCACTATCTACAGTACCTATCATAGGAGGTGCTAACAAAATATTGAACTCAGCTGAATGGCTCATTCTCTGCTTTCAAGAAAGTTGTGTTTAAATGGAGAAGAAAGGCCTGTGTATAGCCCACCAAATATTAAGCACATAGACTCATGAGCTGAGGTAGAGTGTGAATGACAGATGGGATTAGGATTACCTGGATCTGACTTGCAGATTGAAGAAGGGTCAGGTGGGCCTTGGACCTTCCTAGAGTCAGAGCAGAAGAGGCAGAGCACAAGAGCTATCTGAACAAAGGGAAAGAAGAGCAAGCAAAGACTTCGGAGCTGAAGCTTTGGGGGATGAAGACCAGTGATTCAGTGTGGCTGGGGCAGAGGCTGTTTGGAAGGTGAAAAGAGATAGGGATAGGAAGGTAAACAGGAGTTGAATGGCTCCCAATCCCCTGTTGAGAAGCTGGCCTCAATTTGGTATGTGGCCAGAGGCTATCAAAGAGTTTAAATGAGAAGTCATATATAGATCAGGGATCTTCTAAAATAGTGATGGCAAATCTTTTAGAGCTTTCAGTGATAACAGCCAGCTGGCTGCAGCACACATGCCATAAGTCAACACAACTGTTCTAAAATAATTTCTCAGCAGTGGTGTGTGGGTTGGGCTTCAGTATACTGTATAGTCTAGGCCAGAAGCGATATGGTCTGAACCAGACTTATTACTGTTGATGTGTTCTCCACAACATCTTGCTGTGGAATTCAGAGCCTAGAGCAGGAAATGGCTCAAGAAGAAGGAACAAGCCAGGCTCTGAGAGAAGAGGCCCAGCGGAGGGAGATGGCTCTGCAGCAGCTTCGTACAGCTGTGAAGGAGGTGAGCAACATTGGCCAGGCCTCTTAGTACAGACTCCACAAACCTGATTTTTGTGTGCCCTCTCTCCTCCCTTCCCTAAGAGCCCCAGTGTGGCAGAGGTCCCTGCTGAGCTTTTTGAACAGATGAGAGGAAAGATAACATGGCATCATCCTTTATGTTAGAGGCCCCTTTAGAGTGACCATAATTACCAAGCAGTGCTTTCTAGATGTGGGAAGTTATTCTCTTCCTTTTGTCTCAGTGTAACCACAGTTTTATAGGGTTTGGGCAGAAGGGTTCAAGAAGACTGAGAATATAGTTATCTTCAGGTAGTAAACAGAACTGTCAGCAGGGGGCCACCAGGTTCACTGGTGAGTGCCTAGGAAGAAGTCTCCAGAGCTAGAATTGCCACATGGCCCAGTCTGGGTGGAGGGCTGAGACTGAAGGAGGAACTCTGAGAGTTCTTAAAACAGAATGGGCCAGGTGTGGTGGCGCACGCCTGTAATCCCCACACTCGGCACTTGCGAGGCTGAGGCAGGATTGCTGTGAGTCCAAGGCCAGCCTGGGCTACATAGTGAGAGCCTGTCTCAAAAAAAACCCAAAAAACAAACAACAGAATGGAAGCCCAGTGTAGTGGTGCATCCCTGTGATCCTAGCTACTCGAACAATGCTGAGCCAAGAGGATCACAAGTTTGAGCCCACTCTGAGCAATTTAGTGAGATGGAGGGACACTGGCTCAGTACTTTCTAGGTTCAATCCCCAGTACTACCAAAAGAAAAAAACAGAATAGAGGAAAGGAGAGTTGATTGAGCTGTCAGGAAAAGGGAAAGTGACACAGACATACAAAAACCCTAACTCCATTTAGATGAAGGTTTGAAAAAGCAGGACATGTTTAGGCCCTGTGTCCTCCAGGTCTCCACCTTCCCTAGCCCCATACCCAGCAGCCACTATCATTGTCTTTCTTGACCCCTTTATTCTTCTGACAGCCTGTGATCAGGCTGGCTGGTGGCCACTTTGATCAGGGTGGCAGGGAGAGATTGAAACCAGTGTCTCCTCAGATTTCACTGTTCACATTAGGCCATCTCTAATAGCCTGGCTAACAGTTGGCTGAGGGACTGGCTTCAGATAGAGTTCCTACGGGCGGGGACATCTCTGGTTCCTGGACAGAAACCTGGAGGCAGATACTCAGAGCCTGGTGAAGAGCAGCTTCCTCTTCACTGCTGGATCCCTGTGGTCCCATCCTATCTTCAGGAGGAAGCAGGCCTAGTGGTGGGGAGGCCGGGGTGCTAAGCCTGTTGGGGAGGGAGGGCATTGCGTGTGATTCACACCCCCTCTCCATACACATTTTGCAACCCACCCCCAACAATACACATATACAGATACTGCTCCCTGGGCCTGGGTTAGTATGCTTACCCCTTTATCTGCTCAGCTCTCAGTGCAGAACCAGGACCTGATTGAGAAGAATCTGACACTGCAGGAACACCTGCGCCTGGCTCAACAAAGGTCCCCATCTTCATCAGACACAACCCAGCTGACATTTGAGCTGCATCAGGAGTTGGCCAATTGCCTTCAAGATCTGCAGGCCGTCTGCAGCATTGTGACCCAGAGAGCCCAGGGCCATGACCCCAATCTGTCCCTGCTCCTGGGCATTCACTGTGAGTCCTCAGGCCAGTCTGGGACCCTTGAGAGAGGGGCTTTTATTCTCAAGGCATTTAACTTTCCTAATGGTAATGTGAGTAAACAGGTACATATGCCTAGTCACTGCCCTCTGAAAATTTATGTTTTACAAAGTAGGCCTTCAGTGTTTTGCAAACAGGCATCCTTATAAGGGTATTTGCACGAAGTACAAACCCAAAATGGGTCTTCAGTAGCAAGTTATCCCCAGTGTTTTTTTTTAAAAGAAAATGGCCCTAGGGCTGGGGATATAGCTCAGCAGTAGAGCACTTGACCTAGCATGCATTAGTTGAAGCCCTGGGTTGCAGCCTCAGCACCACATTCAAGAAAGTGTCTACCAGATGACTGACATGAAATGCTCTCCTCTTCAGCCCCACAGCACCCAGGAGGGACTCAGCCAGATTTGCAGAAGCCAGATGTGATCAGGAGGAAACTAGAAGAGGTTCAACAGCTGCGTCAGGACATTGAGGACTTAAGAACCACCATGTCAGACAGATATGCCCAGGACATGGGAGAAAACTGTGCCACACAGTGAAGAGTGCTGGGAGTGGACAGGCTGTATTTCCCTTAGGAGGACCTGAGCTGCTAGTAGCCTGGCCAGCAAGTTGCAGCCTTGCCAGTCTTGCAGCCTGTCTGCTGCTATTCCCAGAGAGGAGATTGAGGGGTGGAGGGGGAAGAGCCTGCATCTGGGGACCAAGGACTGTTGAGAGGAAGTGTACCTGCCCTGCCCTACACTGGCTTTGCCTTATTTGGCTGTTTGTCCTCTTATCCTAATTTACCTTTTGAGGGTGAGTTATTAACTTTTGCAGGTTCACCTGATAAGTCTTCACTGTTCCCAGCTCTGGGGTGACATTGAAGGCAGAGAAGCTGCTTAGGTCCCTTCTCCATCCTCCAGGATGGGTCCACATCCATTCCTACTCCATATCTTGGTCTTGCTGATCCTAAAACTCATTAGAGAGGCCTGGAAAGGCTGAGATAAGTAGCAATGACCATTTGAGACTTCTCAGGCCTCATGTGCCACCCTTTCTGGGAACTGGGCTGGCTTTTTGGATTTTTTTTATCCGAGGCCCACTGTTTCTTCCTCAGGGCTGTTGTCCTCACAGAAGCCTCAGGGTGATCTGCTTGTTAGCAAAGAAGCCACTAGGATTAGGTGCCTAGACTAGGTTACAGTTCGGGCTCCTTAATCTGCCATGCCATCCTTTTTTTTTTTTTTATGCTGTGGCATCTTTACTGGAGATCACCTCCTCAGCTGCCCTATCTCCTTGGAGTCCTGGCCATGTGGTCAGCATAGCGTCCTCATTCTTTGTTTCAGGCCTTCCAGGTACCCCTTTCTTGGGCTTTGAGTGCAAATTCTCTGTAGTTCTAGGCTTGGGTAGGATTTTCCCCCCAAAGACCACAGAGTAACTGTCAAGCTGCTCACCCCTTCCCCCAGGCCAGGTCCCCCTTGATTTGTGCCTGTTTGGGGGAGCTCTTTCCCTCATTTCCTCTCGTCTCTATGAAGAGTTCAGAGTACCCAGTGTGGGTCACCTTTTAAGATACCGCTTTCAGTGTTTCCTGAAAGTATTTTTGTTTATTCTGGAGGCTTTGGACCCTCTGCTTTCTGGTTTAGGGAGCATCTTCACAGTTGTTAGCATTTGGTTGTTGGGCCAGCCCCAGATCTCCTCTAACTCTGGAGCCAGGCCAAGCCGGGGCCATGTGTGGATATGAGGAGCAAAGCAGTTCTGGGGCCTAGAGACAGCCAAAAGACTTTGGGCTGTTGGCAGCATCCCGGACCTCACTCAGGCCTGAATGAGCCTCCTCCTTAAGTGTTTTTACAAGTTTGTGTTTTATTTGTGGAGTGACTTATCCCTTCCATTCAGAGCAGCTCCGCCTGGTTGGCTACCCCCTCAGCCTCTGGGCTCCTGCCTCTTAAAGCAGAGCTGCCTGGTTGGTCTCCACCCTGTGTTGGGAGCCCAGCCACCACGCTCAGGGGTATTTTTCTTTGTAAAGTTTATAAGCAGTTATTTATATGAATATTTGTTATGCCAACTGGTTTGTATTGCCTATTTTGATTACAGAATAAAATATTTAACAGATGCTTGGTTTTCTAGTGTTCCATCACCACCTAGTATCCTCCTGCCTCACCCCTCACTTTGGTTTTTCAAAGCCAAAAGCTGGGTATTGGAGTTCCCCAGGCAGAAGCAAGGAGGGACTTTTGATAGGTCCAGCTTTATGTCCATATCTTTACCACTTCTGGTTCTTTGTCATTCTGCCCACACTACTTTTTGTTTGGCATAGCTCCCCTGAGTCATAGAGCTGGCTGACATTGGAAAGTTTCAGCAGGCTTCTCAGGAAGTCAGTGACCTCTGGGTTTCTGCGAGGAAGTGGTTTCTCAGCAAAGCAGGCACTGTGTGCCTCAGAGAGGTAGGGCTGTCTTCAGGGGCTGTGGCCTGTCTGAACCCTAAGGGTCTTTATGTCCAGTCACACAGATAGACTAGTCTCCAAATCGGGGCTAGTTGCTTCTGGTGTGCTGCCTCGGAACTCTGAATTATTGTTGGAAATAGTAATGGCCGTGCAGTACCACTGCAAGGTGGAGTTGGGGGCCAGCCTGAGCCAAGACTGGGGACCCCAGGCATTAACCTTTGCCAGCGCTATTAGCCTCTAGGTCTCCTGGTTCCTGGAGGGTGTGGTCCCTGCTTCAGGCCACAGTCCTTGTCTAAACCTGTCTGGATTTAGGAGCTGTAGGGAAAATGTGGCAGGAGCCGCCCTGTTTTGGTTTACCTCCTCCAGTAACTTTAGGTTTGGAAACAACACAAGCCTCTCAAAGTTCCAAGCAGAGCTATACTATGATGGAGACCACGCTTGGTACTGGAGGGTGGGTAGCTGGGTATACCAGAATCTGGGAGAACTTTGCTAAGCCCTCGGCCCCACCTTGCGGGCCTTTTTGCCATCTGGTCCCTCCGCAGCCTCACTCTGCGCCTCAGGTCTGGGAAGGGCTGACGGTGTGGTGTGGACAGCGCAGCTGCAGAGGACTGGGTCCTCACGAAGACTGCCAGCGGGCAGGCCAACCCTGGGGGAAGGGAGGGTATCTCCCCCGCATGGGGCGGTGTCTCGCATGCCCCGCCCTGCCTGCCTGCGTCACCCATTGGTCCCAAGAACAGTGACTTGCGGGCGGAGCAGGAAGGAAACCGCTCCCAAGCACGGCAGCGTCGTCTCCCAGCAGTGCAGCTGCCACTATCACCGTTCCTCCGTTTGTCCATACCTTCGTCCGCCTGCAGCATGAGCGGTCTGCGCGTTTACAGCACGTCGGTCACCGGCTCCCGAGAAGTAAGTGCGCGCCGGCTGGCCCTGAGAAGAGCTCGGCCTTTCCCAGGGCTCCCGACCCAGGCGCCCCGGAGCTGCCCCCACCACGGAGCCAGAGCAGGGTGGGGAGCCTTGAGGTGCTGACCCGGTCTCCTGGGTCTGGGGACCGCGACCCCATCCTGAGCCCTTCACTGGGTATCCTGGGTCCTCGGCAGCCCTGGCATGAACTGCCCACGCCCATCCCCCATCCCTGGGACACCCCCCCCCCATTCTCTGCACTCCCTAGCGCGTCCTTATCCTACCCATCTCCCCCACCATGCGAAGGCGGAGTGGGTAAGCCACCAGCCAGGCCTGCCCTGCCTTACCCCGCTCAGTTCCTCTTTTCCCTGTCTTGAACTTCATCTGACTCCACTACTTTCTGATCCCCACCCCGTGGTAGTGGTCCTTCATTCTGTGCCACCTGGAGCCTGACTCTCCCAACTCCCAGTGGCCACAGCCTCCTCTAGAGTGGGCAAGAGACAAGGGGACAAAAACTCCTAGTCACATCTGCCCAGAGTCTGCCCCATAAATCCACCCTGCTCACTCACCCTATCCACCCTCTGCCCCCAGATCAAGTCCCAGCAGAGTGAGGTGACCCGCATCCTGGACGGGAAGCGCATCCAGTACCAGCTGGTGGACATCTCCCAGGACAACGCCCTGCGGGATGAGATGCGAGCCTTGGCAGGCAACCCCAAGGCCACCCCACCCCAGATTGTCAATGGGGACCAGTACTGTGGGGTATGGCCCTGGGGATGGGGCTGGGGGAGTGTTGTAAGTGGACTCCAGTCAGGGTCATACCAAAGCACTTGGGCCTCCAACACTCAGCTGACCACCCCATCCTTCTCCCCCAGGACTATGAGCTCTTCGTGGAGGCTGTGGAACAGAACACACTGCAGGAATTCCTGAAGCTGGCCTGAACCGAGCCAGCCCACTGTTCCCACTGGACTCAGCACCACAATCTCCCACAGATCTCACCCAGCCGTGAAGGACCCTGTGACCAACTCCTTGTTGTGACCAACTCCTTGTTGTTCCTAACTTTCTTACCTTGGAGTCCCTCACCCTAACCTATACCCCTTTTCCTCCCTCTCTGTAGTTCCCTTTTCTCCATTCAAAGGCAACATTCCTTATCTACTTGTCTCAGAAATTGTCTTAAAACAGCCCCAATGCTGGCTGTCCTCAGCCAGGCCTTGGGGCTGCCAACCTGCCTGGAGCTGGCTGTTGGGCACTTCTATTAGTTCCATTAGCCAGAGCTCTGCCAAAGGCCCCGCAGTCCCCCTCCTGGGAATACCTTAGAGACAATTAAATGCCCATTCCATTGGCACTGTCTGTTTGGTTGTGGCCTAGGCATCCTGAGTCCCTGTCCTGGTAAAGTTGGTAGTTGTGATTGTGTTGAAGCTGTGCTCATGTGTCTTTCACTTTTGTGTGTGTTGTGTCAGTGTGTGTGTTTGGATCTCTGTCTGGTACATACGTGCTTGTATGGACCAGTAGTTTCTGGAGACAGTGGATGGGCCACCTCCAGTTCATATGCATGTGCTGGTGTCCCTCAGTATGCCTGTCAGTGAGTGGCTGCCTGCCTGTGTTGGAGTAGATTGCTAAGTGTGGGTATGTTGTGGATGTGGGTGCACAGCTGCAGTTCTGTAAGTTTAAGGCCATGGGTGTAGTGGCAGTGGCTTTATGCAGTGCTGAGGAAGTGTCCCTGCAAGCTTGTGGATCTGTGTGCATCGATGCACACATGTACAATGAGGCTCTCCTGCCTCCAGCTGAGTCTGAGAATGTAAACCCAGCAAGGCCTGGCCACTCCCTTCTCAGGATCCCTCCCTTCACAGGCTCCCCTTAGCCCTGCCTGGGAGAAAGAGGAAGCTTGAGTACAAAGACCCAGCACCAAGCCAACCAGCTGGGGCTCAAGTTACTAAGGGGAGGGTCAGCACCGACCCTTCCTTGGCCCAACTGGGCCTACCCCTTCCCCTGGAGAGAGCCCTGCCAAGAGAGCCTTGTAGAACTGATTGTGTCAGGGGCAGCACTTTATTCAGGGCTGGGGCCAGAGCCCAAGCTCGGGCCAAAGCCAGGGTTGGGCAGCTGGGCCCTGCATGCCCGCATTAGCAGCATTGCACTGGGCATCAGGCCTGTGTCCTGGAGCGTGAGTGCATCATCCTGGTAGACTGTGGGTGGGAATGTGCTGAAGATCTCAAAGGTGGGAGCATCCACAGCCCTGGGGGCCCAGCAGAGTAGATCATGCTGGGCTACAGGGCCAGAGCCTCCCTACAGCCCCCAGCCCTGCCCTGTCCCTACCTGGCCTGTGCTAGCAGGGCACGCACGGTGCCAACAGTGTCCTCAGGCCGCATCATCAGAAGGAAGGCCTGCTCCCCATTCTCAGACTTGACGCGCAGCATGCAGAGTGGGGGTGCTGGTGTGTTGGGTGATTCCTGGCTCCTGTAGGCCTAGAGGCCTTCAGTGTCCCAGTGGCCAACCCCCACCCCAGGCCCTCACTTCTCTGCCTGCCCATACCTCTGTTGCTCAGCAGCCAAGGCAGGTGTCTCCACTATGATCTCCTGGATCGGGATAGGCAATGGGCAGTAGTTCTGGAAGGCATCCATGGAGCGTGGACAGAGCCCTGGACCCCACCTGAGTAGCCCCCCAACCCTTGACTCATCCTTGAGCAGGAACAGATGGAGACCAGTAAACCAAGGGGGTGGTATGTTCTGTGTAAACTGAGGCCCAAGGAGAGGAAATGGAAGGATGCCCTCGGAAGCAGCCCCATCATTTCCCCAAGAATCCTCCCCCATCTCGTGCCAGAGACAGGAGCCCACACAGATGATGACCTCGCTAGATGCCTACCCAGAGAGCTTCCCTGGGGAAATGACACTGGAGCTGAGACTGAAGGATAGGTAAGAGCCCTTAAAAGTGGGATGTGGACAAAGATAGTCCCAACAGCAGGGAACATCATATCCTGAGGTCAGGGAAAGTGTCCTGGAGGAAGTGATATATTTGGGAAACTGCCAGCAGTTCACAGCTGAAGCTGCAACTCGGCTTGGAATGGAAGAAAGGAAAGGTTAGAGAGGTCATAAGGGCCCAGGGATGCAGGATAGGCCTTGCATTCCAGGATAAGGACATGGATTTTATCCAAGAATAAAGGGGGCTGTCGGAAGATGGCTGGCAGGGGCAGGAGTGGAGAAGGGAGGCTGGCACAAAGAGGTTGCCTGGGAGACACACTGGAGCCTAGATTAGGTGGTGGGTGGTGGGAATGAGAGAAGAGATGGGCTTGGGAGCAGTTCTGGGGAGAGCCAGGACAGGCAGGACTTAGCAACATGGGGCTGAAGGTGGCAGAGGAATCCTGAGAAACTGAGGTTTGGCACCTTTCTCAGGTGATGACCTGGGAAGATCAGCAGGATAGGTAGTGAGGGCCTGCAGGGCACTCAGGACTGCACTGTCATTGAACATGGCTTGGGCCTGGGCTGACACCTCAGCATGGACTCTGATTTTACCCCACTTAGAGCCAACCCAGGTGCCCTCTGGGGCTGCCACAGCACCCTCACCAGCTCTCCAGCTTTCCATTTCCTCCTCACTGCGGCCCAGAAACCTCAGCCTCCACACAAGATACTGCTCTGCCACCCTGGGCCAGGGTCGGTGGGAAAGCCCCCAAGAGGACTGGGGAATTAGAGCTGGCCTCACCTGCAAGGCATCCCTGATGGGGCCCCGGATGTCAATCACCTCGCCTTGTCGGATCACAAATTTAGGGAGTCTGTTCAGAAATTTCTCAGCAGTCATCCCTGCAGGAAGGGCATTTGGGAACCTTGGCCCAGGCAGGGACTGTGAGGGATGTTGGAGGAGGCCATCTTGAGCTTTTGTGCACAGCCTCCTGGCCACCCACCCCAGCCTTGGGACCCAGCTTACCTGGGTGCTCCGGCACCCTGTCCGAGGCCTTGAGCATCCTTTGCCAGCCCACCACACAGCCTTCGCCTGGGAATGGGCCCAGCCCATCCTCTGGGTAGGCCTGATCGCGCAGGTCGCTTACCTGTCAGGAAGGAAGGGTGACAGCAACAAGCCCTGGCCTTCAGCTGTGGTTCCCACCCCCATCCTACCTGCCCAGAGGCCCCAAGAACAAGCCTAATCCCCATTTTTACAGATAAAGAAACTGAGGCCCTGGGAGAGAACAGGAGAGCTGAAGTTCATGCTTCAAGCACGCCCTCACCCATGCCAGCTGAAGCCACAGTACTGACTCTCTCCACAGAGGCCCCTCCTTGGATCTGTCAGCAGAAGGCAAAGGCCCTGCAGCACAGACCCTGTCACAGCATATATCACCTCAGTTGTGTCATCAAGGCACAGCTCTGAGGCCCCATTTTGGCAGGACCCTTCAGACACCCCCAGTTGTGATTCACTGTTTTCTGAGCTGTGGCATACACTCCCTCACAAGCCCTTGCTGTGCACATAAAGCCACCTCCCTTACAACCTTCTGCCTCATGGACCCCATGGCAACACATTAGTCTCACACCACCGGCCAGAGACTGGCTACTGTTATGGCCTCAAGGCCCAGCACTTGCCCCCCCTGCTCAGCATTTGTGGCTCACAGCACTGCCACCCCAACCAGATGGTTTCGGGAGCCTCTGGAGGAAGCCGGGCAGTTGCTCATAGACCCCTCAGAAGCCCCAGGCTGTAAAGGTGTCCTGCATGCTGGGGAGTAGGAGGGCAGTGGTCTCCAGGCCAAGGGTGTGCCTTCAGTGTGTCAGCAGAGGGCGCTGCCTGCTGCTCAGCCTGGGGAATTTCAGTGCTGTGGCCATGGCCACCTCTCCCTTCCCAGCCCTCTTTAGGCTCACCCTCCTCCTGGACTTCATCACCCCCCTGGGGTCCCCTGAGCTGGGGCAGTGGCTCCCTTCAGAATGGCTGATGCCCAAGGAAGGGAATGATGCCCATTTATCCCCATTATCTCCAAAACTCCACTTGGGGAAGGGTCAGGTTAAGGAGCAGCCCATCACCTTAAAGGGGACTCCACTGGGGTACAGTCGCTGGAGTTCTGAAGGGAAGAAGCCATCCAGTATGTCCCGGAGGCAGCACTGCAGCAGGGAATGGAAGGGCAATGCCAGCTGGACCTGGGCAATGCCCCCAGCCTAGGACCTCACACTCTGGAAGTATTCAGAGCCTTGGGACTTGGTTGGGGCACCCAGGCTGGAGGGCAAGCTGGGTCTGGCATGAGCTGGCTCCACCATCTCCAATTAATGGTGGGCAGCAGGGGCCCAAGAGCTCCACCCCCAGCTCCTACCTGTGTGGCAGGGTTGTGGAAGGGCCGGAAGGGCCCATCGAACATCATGATGCCATTCCGGTAGAGCTTTAGCGGGATGGGCTCAAGGGCATGGAGCCGTGCCCCTCCAGGAACTGGTATCACCTGTGTGTCACCCTCTACCACCAGCTCACTGAGATCCTTCAGGCTGGCCAGCAGCCTGTCAAAGTCCACTTCAGGAGGCACTAACGAATCCCCTGGCAAAGAGAATAGACACCCATGAGCTTCATGGTTGCCATGTCCCCTAGCAGCTTCTGCAGCCTTCCCTGGAGCTGAGCACTGGCCTGTGTCCTTAAAGTGGCCACCGAAGGAAAAGGAAGGGTAACTAACACTAGAAAGTAACAGCTGTCTTTCTGTCACTGAGCACTTTCTTTGTGCCAGGGATTTAATACCATCCATCCCTCCTAACAACTCTATACCGGAAGGATTCTAATCCATTTTTCAGATAGGGAAACTGAAGTTTAGAAGGAATTAAATGGTTTGCCTAACAATGCACAGCAATAAGTGCCAGAAGCAAGATTTGATCCCTAGGGCCGGGGATTTAACTCAGTGATTTCGCCGCCTTCTGTGCAGGCCCAAGGACCCGAGTTCGATCCTCAGTACCAAAAAAAAAAAAAGATTTGATCCCTAATGTGTGTCAGGCACTAGGTTGGCACTGAAAAACAAAGGGCAGAGCTCCCACCTCTGGATGAGTGCTTTCAGGGTTCAAGTCCCAGCTCCTTCCTCCACTTCTACCCATGTGACTTTAGGGAGGTCATTTCTAGATTTCCAGAGAATAGAACATTCTCTTCTAGAATGGAATGACAATAGTGTCTTCCCCCCAGGGTGGCTGGAAGGCTCCAGGAAGATGACTGTATAAGGGCCACTCTGTCCTCATTAGATTGCTACCAGCTCTGCCTGGCACAAATGGTCCCTAGGCAACCCCAAGGCTATGAGGCAGGGGCTACTTATCTTGATTTTATTAATGAGGACCCAGGGAAAGAGATGAAAATTGACTTCCCCCAGCCCATTTGGCAGGTCAGAGGACAACTTGGGACTTGAGTTAGAGTCTGGTTTTCCCACCCATGTGCACCATCAGGAGAGGGAGGTCAAAGGTAGACAGATAGCAGTTTAGGGGTGTTGGGGCAGCTGCTGGACAGAACAGATGTGGGGCAGAATGCAAGTATTTCTGCGCAACAAATCCCTTTCTGCAGCTGCCGAAACTCCAGTCTCCTAAAAACTGGTACCCGTACAGCTGGGCATAAGCTTTAGGGTGTGCAGATGGGATGGTAGGGACTGCTGGGACAGATGTCAGAGCAGAAAGGGTGCCTGGCAAAAAAAAAAAGCAAGCAAGCAAGAAAGAAAGGATGCCTGGCAGGAGACATACTGGCTGGGGACAGGCCAGGGCCTGCCTGTTCCGCAGTCTTTAGGGTGTAACCTTCCCCTGCATAAATGACTCTATGGACCTTCTTGGAAGCTGTTGTTTTTTGTTTTAGGGGGTTTTTTTGGTACCTGGGATAGAACTCCGGTCCTTGTGCTTGCGCACCAGGCAGTGAAACCACTGAGCTAAATCCCCGGCCCTTCTTGGAAGCTGTTGATCACCAGGACAGCCAGGCTGCAACAGGATGTGGTCAGGGCCCTGGGAACCCAATTCCTTTCCCCACAGTGGTTCGGCAGCGGCTGTACCAGGGAGTACAGATGCAGGTGGCTGTGTTTCCCATTGCCTTTGTGCTGCCAAAATGCCAGACTGAGCCAGACTTCTCCTCTCCCAGAATCTGCTATTATTGGAGAGGCTACACCTGGCCCCTTCTTCCTGGAGTCCCCCAGAGTCCCTGCGATTCCAGGAATAACAGAATGTCCTAGTCACCCCTTGTATGATTCCAAATGATATCAAAACACCATTTTCCGGGGCTGGGGATTTAGCTCAGTAGTTCTGCCACCTGCCTTGAAAACGCAAGGTCCCGAGTTCGATCCCCAGTACCAAAAACAAACAAACAAAACATCATTTTCCTTTAACAATTAACTACTTTAAGAAGAAATTAGCAGGAAGCTGGACATGGTGGCCCATACCTGTACTCCACCACTCAGGAAAGCTGAGTCAGGAGTATTTCAAGTTCCAGCCCAGCCTGGGCAATTTGCCAAAGACTGGAGATGTAGTTCATTGGGAATGTCCGGGGTTCAATCCCAGTACCAGAAAGGAAAGAAAAAGAAGGAAGGAAGGAAGGAAGGAAGGAAGGAAGGAAGGAAGGAAAAAGAGAAAAAAGAGAGAGAGAGAAAATAAATTGATAAAACTTTCTTTAAAATGTCATTCATGTTAGGCCAGTCCCACTTTTCCTACAGCCAGGGAAAGTGAGGCCTAGAAAACTCAGGGGCTTGGTCCAGTCAACAGAGCAGAGCCAGGAGTAGCACCCAGACACACTGACTCCTAACCCAGTGCTCCTGCCATCACCCCAAGTGCCCTCCTGGGGCCAGGGCTTCAGGGAGCCAATGGACATGGGGTGGTCTGCAGGGGAAGGGGTCAGGCAAAAGCCCTGGGGAGGATGCCAAAAAGGGTCCTGGGAGCTGGGGGTATAGTCAGTGGTAGAGACCTTTCTAGAAAAAGGAGGGAAGGAAAATCACATGCAGTCATGAAGCCAGTGAGCCCCGATACCAAGGGTGTGCAGCAGAGCTCTAGCGCCACGAGAGAGGTACAGTGGGACGCACACAGGAAGTTCCAGCTCTGCCTGCGAGGTGGTAGGCCTGTGGTGAGGCAGCATTTCCTCTGTGATATGGGTGGATGGGAGCCCTGTCCTGTCACAAGATCCACGCAATAACCTGCCTGGAAATGATGATTCTGTGCCAGCCACCCAGTGGTAGGCATTACGGTTCCCTCTCCAGATAAGGACATGAGGCCTCGACATGGGTCATGCCCTGGGTCATGCAGCTTACAGGGCCCAAGTGACTCAGCCTCTGCGCTCAGTGACCCTGCAGGCTGCTGCTCAGCATTGGCCCTTAGGACAACCGCCCACTGGGGGTTCCTTTTTAGGGAGGGTTACATCTCCAAGCCTTATGTAACTTTGAGCGCCCATGACTACTTATCACAGTGTAGAAAGGCCCTCGGCCCAGCCTCCCTCAGAGAGCTTCCTCGACCCCCACACTGCCAGGCTCTGTGACCTTGGGTAGATAGGCCTCTCTGAGCCTCAGCTTCGTCTTCTGCAAAATAAGGATAATAACAGTCCTTGGCTTACAGGGCTGCTGTGAGGCTGGAAGTGCCCGGCAGATGGTGGCTGTTGTCACTAACACCTCTTATCACTGGCTCAGGCCAGCTCACCCACCCTCACCTCCTCTGAAAGCTTGGCTGTGCCCCTCCTCCTTGGGGCTGGGTTTCCGAGGGCCCCACACCCTTGGTCCTGTCCCGTGCTGTTGTTACTTTGTGCTTGTTTCTTTGCTTTCAACCACACTGGACGCTCCTTAAACACAGGCTAGAGGGCTGTGCCCTGGTCGGCAGTGAGTGCTTAGAGACACATGCTGATCCCTCTGTCCATCTGTCAGTTCATAAGTCCATTATGTTGGGAACACCCATGGTCAGCTGGGCCTGCAAATCACGGCAGCACCCATACCCAGAGTCCTCCTCTCCTCAGGCTCATACTCTGTGAAGGAGACAGGGTGGCAAACAGTGACAGTAGCATGTGGTGTGAGTGTCACTGTGGGTACTGTGAAGCCCAGAACAGGGCCAGACCCTGCGACTGTCGGGTGGGTGGAGGCCCCGCCAGTTCTCTGAGAGGACCCCTGCTGCTGTAGTGCCAAGGTGCTCCTGCCTCTCTCAGGTGCTCTGCCCCTCCAGCCCTACCACCTCCTACAAAGACCTGCAACAGGAAATGGACCCGCTATTACCACACACCTGCAAGCCACACCTGCAAGCCACACCTGCAAGCCACACCCACTCTGGGAACTTTTCACACTGCTCCTTGGAGGAGCCAGTGCAGAGAAGAGGATCTGAGAGACCCACAGAGGAAAAAGCCAGCCTGTGCCACAGCAGAGTTTGACCTCAGGTCTGCAGGATCCCACCTGCGCTACCCTTGTCCCCACTTCATCCTGTGGGTTGTCCACACTGTGCTCTGATAGTTCAGACCTGGGCATACTGGGCACCACAGCCAATCTCACACAGGCACACATGCCCTGGCCTATGTGCCAAGCAAGCTCTGTACCCGGTGCACTGGGGCATAAGAAGAGCTAAGTAACCTGGGCTGATTGATGGTCACAGTCATTAGCACATCTGCCATAAGCACCCCACAGGTGGGCACTCTCTCATTCCAAGTGCTCAGCAGCCCTAGGGGCCAATCAACACTATTCTCCCTCCCAGAGGAGGCTCGGGGTCCCTCTGGGGCCAGGCCCCCAGCCTGGTCCCCTTCCCATGAGGTTCTGGCACAGCTACATAGCAGCCAGGGCGTGGCGCAGTGTAGGCAGCATGCAGCACAGACTTGATGGAGGAGGCCAGATTTGGGCTGAGCTTCCAAGAGTGGGAGAGAGGGCCGCCATCCCCAAGGTCAGTTTGACCTCCCCAGCTAGAGGTTTGAAGCAGGTACCGCTCACTCAGGGTGGGACCTGGGAGGAAGGCTCGAGGTGCACAGGGCAGCTGGCAGGAGAGGTGGGAGAAGTGGAGGGGGACAGGAGCACAGGAAGGACAGATGAGTGGCTCTCTCAGGGCTACTGGGAGCTCTAGCCTGACACTGGCCCACGGTGCTGTTCCCAGAGCAGGACTGTCCCTTTCGTGTCTCCACATACCCTGAAGCACCTGCCATAGCAACCTACATGATGCTCAGCATCCTGGAAGCTGAGGAGGGACCAGACTTCCTCTCTGCAGTGCCCTTTCCTAAGTGGCACTGACTTTTTTTCCCGGGGCAAGAACCTCAGGCTCTAGCACATTCTAATCACTTCTTCCAGCAAACATGATGCACATTCATCACCCACTGCCCCAGAATGCATGGAGAGTGGTATCCAATAGAGGGGAACCAGGAACCAGCTAGAGCCTCAGGCCAGCAAAGGCCAGGGCTGGGAACAGAGGGCCCTCGGGGCAGGAGGAGGCTGGCAGGAGGCCCCAAAAGATGAAGCTGCTGGAAATGGAAAACACATCTTTATCTAGCAGGCGAGCTAAATCAAGGCCCTTCTTATGTTGAAAAGCAAGTTAAGCATTGTAGCACACTCCCACAATCCCAGCACTCAGGAGGCTAAGGCAGGAGAACTGCCTCAAGTTTGAGGCCAGCTCGGGCTACATAGCCAGACTCTGTTTCAAAAGAAAAAGAAAAGAAGGGTGAGGATGCAGAAGTCCCTGCAGCCGGGGAGCTCCAAGGTGGACTAGAGGTGGTTTCTACAGATTGTTTTAGATGGGAAGCTCTTGGCTTCAGAGCCAGCCTTGCTCAAAGCCCCGACAACAAAGAAAAGCAGGGTGGAGGCTGCTCTTTTTGGGGGAAGACGAATAATTCAGCAAGGCAGAACCAGAAATCAGCCATCCACTTGAGCTGCCCCCCACCCCCAAAGGAGCCTGGAAGTCTCCGGTGGCCTGGAAGAAGGAGGCTTTCCAACAAATGGGAGGAGCACATGGTCCTAGACCCAGGATATTCTTAAAGCACATATAGCCATCAACCAGGGACCCCAAGGTCCCTGACTAACTCTGCCCCTGGCACCTCTTGGGGTACACAGCTCCCCAGCTTGCTCTGTCCCACATGGAGGAGTCATCTTCCCACAGCCATGCTTGCTGGCCAGCCCTGAATCCTCCTCTCCTCTCTGTGCACAATCACCGAGGCATGACCCACTCCTCAGTCTCTTTGCTCTGGCCCTATTCACCAATCCACATCCCCCTTTCAGCACTGAGGATTGAACCCAAGGTCTGGAATACAAAAGTCAAGCATTCTACCACTGAGCAACATCTCTAGACCTATTTTATTTTACTTATGTTTGTGGCACTGGGGATTGAACCCATAGCCTTCACACTAAGCTACATTCCCAATCCTTTTCCTTTTGAGACAGGGTCTTGCTAAGTTGCCCAGGCTGGGGTCTTCCTGCCTCAGACCCCAGAATCCTGGGATTATAGGCTTGGACCACCACACCTGACTGACAGATTGTTTTGGTAAGCAACAGCTTTTGGAGGGGTGACATTTTGTAAACTATGGAGCGTGAGGCAAGTGTGTCTTGTTACATCTGGCATCCCTGGGTCTCTGGAGCTTTTTTTTACCCCCTCTGGAGCTTTTGACGGGTGAGCAAGCAGAGACTGAGGCAAGACCAGGGAAGACAATGGCCAGCAGGGTGGGCAGGTAGTGCCGGAGGCCTTGGCCTTCTCTTTCCTGGGTCTGGAGCAAAGCCTGGGTTCCCTCTGGGCCCCGGCTGCTGGGAGGCCAGGCATGAACGAGGGGCCTCTAGAGAGCGGCAGGCCAACAGGACACTACTGGAGAGCCCTCGGAAGGCTCAGGTGCTCCCTCTATTCTACCTGGCTTCCAGAACTTCTTGGCTGTCATCCAGTCCCTCGCATCATCCTCTGAGACTGTCTTGTCCTCCGAGTTCTCCTGGTCCATGGGCTCTCCTACCCACTGCAGGCCATAGTCACTGAGGAACTGCTGTGGGGAGAAGGGGGAGCCCCAGGGCACCATTAGCTCAGCCCCTTCCCAGGGAAAAGCAGCATTGGCTCAAATTCCAGGCTCAGTCTTCAGCCCAGAGCCAGCAAAGGGGATGGGACAGGGGACCCTGGACACTTCCCAGCTGTGACCTCCTAGAACCGCAAGCTCCTCTTCTATAAGATGGAGGTGACAGCCCCTGCCCCATAAGCTTGTGGGGAGGACACAGCACAGGGCCTGGCACAAGGAAGAACTCATTAAAATTGCCCACCATGGCCGGGGATTTAGCTCAGTGGTTCTGCCGCCTGCCTCACAAGTGCAAGGACCCTAGTTCAATCCCCGGTACCAAAAAAAAAAAAATTGCCCACCATGGCTGTGGGTAGCCATGTAGGTCTCATCTGACATGAGGTGAAGGGACACCCTGGTCCACAGGACCAAGAGGATGTGACCACCGCCAGGCCAGCAGCTCAGGGCCTCATCCCCTCTGCCACAGGAAAACTTCCAAATGGTCCACACTTCCTGCTGCTGCTTCCTTATCTCCCCTTCTCTCCTCCACCAGCTCCAGCTCCACAACTCGCTGACCTGCACGTGGTGCAGACACCAACAACCTGCCCGTGGCCAGACCCAGTGGGTGCACTTCCATCTTCATCTCTTTCCACACCTGCTGGGTCTACCTCATGGGCTGCCCCTCCACCCTTTCCTTTGCTGGTTCCCTCTTTGTTTTCGGTGGTGCTGAGGATTGGATCCAGAGCCTCCTACTGAGTTACATCTCCAAGCCTTTTTACTTTTTATTTTGAGACAGGGTTTTGCCAAATTACCCAGGTTGGCTTTGAACTTAGGGTCCCCCTGCCTCAGCCTCCCAAGTAGCTGAGATCACAGGTGTGTGTCACTACACCCAGCTTGGTTCCCCATTTCTACCACATTGGCCTATGAGAGTCCCCAGGGCCCAGCCCCATCTTTACTCTCCTCTACGGTTCTTGTCCACTTCCAAATATATACGGAGAACCCAAATTCATACTCAGTGCAGATCCCGCCTCTGAGCTCAAGTCCCAGCAAACTCCCACTGTCCTGACTCCCTGCATCCACCTCCCAGACCTCTTCCCTCTGGTTCCTCCATCTCAAAAAGCAGCACCCCTCACCTAGGCATCATCCATGACCCATTCTGCTCTCTGCCATAGGACTGTGACAAGCTTCAAGGTCCGCAGGTGCCACCTCTAAAGCAGCTTGAACTGTCCATGTCACTGCTGCTCCCTTGCCCGAGCTGCGGGGCTGCTCTCCTGGACACAGGGCCACTTCCACTGCCTCCCGCTACCCCCCCATACACACACACACACACACAGCACAGTGTCCTTCTGTCCTACTCTCCTCTACTGAACCCTCCCAGTTGGTTCCATTCCATCCCACTAGAATCCTGGGCTAAGCCCCAGGCTGTGGCCCCTTTGGCCTATCTCTCATGTTCCTCTGGCTGCCATGGCCACTGACCACAGCCACCTTTGCATGGCCGGAGGTCGGACCTTTCACCTCTTCAGTCTGGATCGTCTCCCCCATCCTCTCCTCATGCACCAGATCTCATGCCAGATGTCCCCTCCATAGTGGCCCGTCCCCAACTTGTCTCTATGGTGTTACCGACTTAATTACTCCCCACCCTCTGTGTCCTCTCTATATACTTGATTATCTTTCCCTCCTGCTGGGGACTGGGGACTGTGACTCTCTGTACCCAGTGCCTGGCAGCATGCCTGACACACGGTAGATACTTTGAGCCTGTTAAATTAACGAAGCAATAAACACACACAGGATTCATGTGTGAGCCAGTGGTTCCCTCTGCAGCTCTGGGGCACAGTGCTCTTGCCCAAGGGCAGCTGCTCAGAGAGGCCCCATGGCCCTTCATTCCCAGCAGGCAGCTCAGGGACAGCTGTGTCACCCTGGCCCCAGGTATGAACAGGTCCACAGTACACATGGCTCTAGGCCACAGCTGGGGTGGTGCTTCTGTGGCCTTAAATGAGGTCGAAGCTTTAGAACCCCACTCTGTAGAGGGAGAGGCCGGATCCCAGGAGGGACTCAGGACAGGGCGAGCGGAGGGGCAGGCTACTGAGGCTGGCACGTGGCACCCTTCCTTACATCCAGTGCCCTCCAGTTCCAGCCCTGCTGCTTGACTAGGTGTGCAGTAGGAGCAAGAAAGCACCTGAGGTCACCAAGTCATTGGGTGAGTGACAGGTCACATCGAGAGGCAGATGACCCAGCACTAGGTCCTGGGTGGTCCCTCCCTAGTGGAATTCATAACCCATGAGGAAGAGAGATGAGGCACTGAGAAAATGGAGCACATAGTGGGGATTGGTGGTGCACAATTGTAATCCCAGCACTCGGGAGGCTGAGGCAGGAGGACTGCTGCAATTTGAGGCCAGCCTGAGCTACACAGTGAGTTCAAGGTCAGCCTGAACTACATAGTGAGATCCTGTCTCAAAAAATCAAAAAATTAATGAATGAATGAAAGAAGAAAGAAAGGGGGATGGGGAAGTGCTCAGTGTGAAGGCCCTGGGTTCTATCACTAGTACAAAAAAGACAGCAGAGGACAGGGAAGTCAGAGGCCAGGAGGGTCCCTGAGAAAATGACTAAGGATGAGTGAAAATGACTGAGGAAGGTGGGAAAAACATTTCAGGCAGAGAGAACAATAGCATGGGCCAGGGTTGGGTGGTGGGAAAGAGCTCTACTGGTCAAAAAACCAGATAACAGGCCCTGGGGCTGGAAGGGAGCATGGCTTGAGATGAGAGTGGAAGCCAGGCGTGGTGGCACACACCTGTAGTCCCAGCACTCGGGAGGCTGAGGCAGGAGGATCACCATGAGTTTGAGGCCAGCCTGGGCTACACAGCAAGACCCCATCTCAAAAAAAAAAAAAATCAGAGTAGAACATCAGGCAGGGACTGTCCTAGAGGCACAGCAAGGACCTTGGAACTGAGCCCAACTGGGAGCTGTGAGGTCTATCATGCAGGGGAGGGGCATGTTCAGCGTGTGATTAGCCTGACAGGAGGGGTCTCCTGGGACTACACTTCACTTTTTTGAGACAAGGTCTTGCTATGTAGCTCAGGCTGGCCTTGAACTCACAGTCTTCCTGCCTCAGCCTCCCAAGTGCTAGGATTATAGGCATACAACACCACACCTGGTTTTCTACCCTGCTCTTCAAACTTAGGTCAGCCCTGGAGAGGGAAATGGGGCAGGGGCCTGGGCAGGATGCTTGGTGAGGAAAGGTGCAGGGAAGGAGGCTCTGACGCTGTTCCTGAGGGGCAGACAGCCAGGCTCAGAAAGCCGGCTGGTCACCACCACCAGGGTCCGCTCACCTCCATCTCCCCGACCTGCCGCTGCAGCTGCACGCACAAGGTCTCCAGCTCCTCCTGCCGCTTCATGGTCTCTTCACCTTCAAGGAAGATGGGGGTAGTTCAGCTGCCCCAAACCGGAGCCTGCCAAGTGCTCTGCCATAAGATGTCCCTGAGAACTGTTGTCCCCTCATCCCCTTCTCTCATCCTGGGCAGCACCCTGACTCTCAGGGGGCCACCAATCCCCTTGGAGTGCATCTCTTATGTTTTGGATGAGGTGCCCTGTTGCAGGGGACTGTCCCACATAGGTGGGCACTGGGTGGCTGCAGCACTATCCTGGAGCTGTCACTGCCCCTCTGCAGGCCAAGCTGTCCAGATCCCACCAAGGAGTTGGCTTGATGCTCCTGAGTTACAATGCCCAGAGTCACTGTCCTAGCTTCCAGAACCCACAGGCCCAGGGGAGGTGCCTGAGCCCGGGGGGTTTCTTACCCTGGTGCTGCTGGAGGGTCTTTACCAACTCTTCCAGGGCCAGGATCTTCTGGTCCTGCAGCAGTGAGGCACAGGGTGAACACGAAGCTTGGTGGGTCCCTTCAGCCTTCCAGTGCCAAGATTCAGAATTTTTGCCTACATGGGGCAACTAGGGAGCATAGAGCCCCTGCTCATCTTTGGCCCTGCCACTGCTACTGAGCCTGAGATGACCCTTGTGGTCCCTCAGAGGCAGGGAAAGGTGCAGCCCACTCAAGGGGGCCCAATGGCTGTGGGTACCAGCTTGGCTCAGCAGCCTGCTACTCCACCTGGCTCCAGGCCTACTGGCCCCTGCTCAGCTGCGCTGAAGACCTCAGCCTCTCTGCCGAGGTCACAGGGACCCAGATCAATCCCAGCCCACCCAAGCCAGCAAACCAGGCAGCTAGGTAGGTGAGATGGCCCTAGAACTCACCTGGCCAGGTCCAGCACTCACCTCCCAGGGCCTTCCACTGGGGTCCTACCTTGGACAGCATCTCATCAGTCTGGGCCTGCACCTGCTGCTCCAGCTCCTGCAGCTTCCTCCTCATGGAGACCAACAGCTCCGGGTCCGGGAAGGCAGGGCCTGCAGAGCAGATAGTCTCTAGGGCCCAGGCCTGGAGCGGAGGCTGAGGTGGGGAGTCCCAGGGAGAGGGAGAGGGTCCCCAAAGCAGAAATGAATATACTAACAGCAGCTAACTCACATGATAGGGACTGCTTGAAACTACATAGATCACCTCATATCATTCGTGCAACGTGCTCATGAGGCAAATGAGCCATTTTGGCAAACTGGGTTGCATTAAGTAATCTGTCCAATGTGTATAAGTGAGAGGTACAAATCATGCACCGTATCACCTTGAAGTCTTGTCAGAAAGGTTATCCTAATCCAATCTAACCTCAAGATCTAATCTCCAGTTTGCAGGCAGTGCAGTGGATAAGGGAGCCAGCCAGGCATACACCACCATGCGCAAACTGGCAGACAAGGCCCCAGTACGGGGCATTCTGCAGGATGAGTGCCTGGGAATCATTGTTTTAAAAGGCAGGAGAGGGCCGGGGATTTAGCTCAGTGGTTCCACTGCCTGCCTCAAAAGCGCAAGGTCCAAGTTCGATCTCCAGTACCTAAAAAATAAAAGGCAGGAGATTGTTCTAAAGAGGTATAAGTGGGCGTCATGACTCTCAGGTACTAGATGGGGAAGGAAATTTGTTCTAAGAGGTATTTTAAAACACTAAGGAGACTTAAATGTGGAAGAGAAAGTTTAGCATGATATGAATATTCACACTATTAGGTGTGATAATATTGTGGTTATTTTCCCCTTATTCTTAGGAAATGCATATCAAAGTAGAGATGAAATGTCACAACCTCTGCAATTTACTCCTAAACTGTTTATCAAAAAATACATTTACAGAGGGCCAGGGGTTTAGCTCAGTTGTTCCAGCGCCTTCCTCACAAGTGCAAGGTCCCCCCGAGTTCAATCCCTGGTACCAAAAAAAAAAAATTTACATTCATATATATGTGTGATGGAGAGAAGAGAGTGTGGTGACATGCCATCAGTTGTTACCAAAGTGGGAGACACATCAATATTCACTGTGCTGTTATTTCAGCTTTTCTATATACTGGACATTTTCCAAAATAAAAACTTTGGCAGAGCTGGACATGGTGGTGCACGCCTGTAATCAGGAGGCTGAGGCAATAGGAGTACAAGTTCAAGGACAGCCTGGACTCCATAGTGAGAGTTCAAGGACAGCCTGGACTATATAGTGAGACCCTGTATCAAAAAAAAAAAAAAAGAGAGAGAGAGAGATGGGAATAAACAGCCATTCTTGTCATTATCATTGTCCTAGACATTGTCATCAGGTGAGAAGCAGGCACCACAGCCATTGTTGTATGACTATGCAGGACTGGAGGTGGGTTCAGGGAAAGACAGAGGAGTGGAACTCTGGGTGACGTCTTTGAGTCACTGAGGTAGCAGCCCTGGAGCTGCCCCATCAGGGCTTCTCAGCACTCAGGATAACAAATCTCCCTGCTGCTCATGCCAGTTGAGTGAGGGTCCTCCTTGACTTGTAGTTAAAAGCATCCAGAAAAAAAAAAAAGCATCCAGGGCGGGGGATTTAGCTCAGCATCGTTGTGCCTGCCTCGGAAGCACAAGGTCCTGAGTTTGATCCCCAGAACCAGGAAAAAAAAAAAAAGAGAGCATCCTGAGAGACAGCTTTTGGGAGCTGTCAGCACACAGAATGTGGATGAGCTCACTGAGGCAGCGTGGAGAGATCGAAGAGTCCAGGCAGGAACATCCATACTGAAAAGTTGCAGGGAAAAGGAGGAGCTGGCAAAGAGAGTTAGGAGGGAAGATGGGGGCAGCAGCAGACAAGCGGAGGCTGCAACATGGCAGCCAGAGTCAAGGGTGCTCTAAGGAGAGAACAGGGATGGGTTGGATGCTGCTCAGCAGAGAAGTGCAATAGGACGGCAGTTCCTATTTAAGACCTTGGTAGGGACAGACACTGGCTGGGAATGAGGAAAAGAGTGAATGACAGGAGAAGCGGAGGACATCTTCAAGAGGAGGAGCTGGTTGCTGTGGCTGCTGTTAAAGCCATCCCTGCTGGGTGTAGGAGACCCTGGCTTTGTGATTAAATGGCTGTGGGATTTGGGCGAGGCTTGTCCTGTCTCTCTGTCACATGCAGGGGTTTGGTCAAGGATCGCCAAGCCCCTTCCTATTGCTGACCTCCTTATACTCAGCCACCATACTGAGCACCCTGTGCGGCCACCACTGACTCGGGGCCCTGTCAAGTGGCACCTCATCAAGTCCTGGCCAACACTCTGGCCTAGGTGCTCCCACTCCCACTTCACATGGGGAGAGGTCAAGTTCTCAGTGGAGATAGCACAGCTGGTGGACAGTTCTGACCCCATCCCCAGCTGCCTGACTCCCAGCTCAGACTGTGATTCCACCCATTGCTCCACGCAGCCCATCCACAACTGCCCAGGGTCCCATTTCCCAAGACCTGCTCCACCCTCCCTCCCTCCTCTGGGAAGCTGCCTGATCATCCCTATCCCATGTTCGCAGATGCCATGGGCCAGGTGGAACTCCAGGCCTGTCTGGACCCTAAGACACAAGAAGCAAGTGGCCAGAGGCTGAGCTTCCTGCTCAGGCCCTTTGGCCTCTCTGACCCTGAATTCTGGACCCACTGACATCACACTTGACGGGGCCTCCAGACCCTCTCCTACAGCCTAGCTTGGCTGGACTAAGCTGGGCAGGGGAGTGGCTTCATGCCAAACAAGGTCCGGGGCAGTGGTCAGCCAGGAGTAGGAGCAGCTGCCTCAGACCCAGCAGGTGCACAGAGAAGCTGTGGCTGTCAGGGACTCACCCTTCTCTGGGGCCCTCCTGTAGCTGAGATCCAGGCTGCTCTCACCTTGGCTCCTCACAGAGGCAGCTACACCACCATAGCAGGAAGGGACAGCGATCCTTTCTTCAGAGCCATGTCCATCATTCAACATGTCCACCTCATCTTCTGCAGACAGGGATGCCCAGGTCACCACTCTGGGGCCAAGGCCCAGAGGGAGCTCAGGTCCTGGGCCCCAGCCAGGGTGAAGCAGCCTGCACACTGTGCCCCATGACTATGAGGACAGAAAACTCCAGAGGCAGGAGGAGAAGGGGTCCATCCAAAATGGGCCTCTTCCAAGAGTTCTTCCCGCCCAGCTCCCCAGCTCCAGGGGAACTGAATGCCCAATGGCAGTACTGTGGTAGGGCAGAAGTGGCACTGGGGGGCCAGGGATTTACCTCAGTGGTGCCACCACCTGCCTCAAAAGCACAAGGTCCGGAGTTCGATCCCAAATACCAAAAAAAAAAAGTGGTGCTGGGATTCAAAAGCTGAGCCCACAGGAGCCAAGGAAGGATTGTGAGGACAGGGACCTTCGGGGCTGTGGGGAAGGAGGCTGGGGCCCACACCTCACCCACGGCAAGTCCCACAGTGGGTCAGGGGGATCAGGGCCGCGTGGAGAGGGACTGGCAGCTGGCCAGCGGTTTCTGCTGAAGGACCCTTCCTCTGCTTTCCTTCCCCATCCACCCTGCTGTAAGGAGGTCCAGGCAGGTGGGAGGTGAGGGTCGAGCTGCACTTACCATCTCCATAGATTCTTATCCCTCGCCTCCTGGGAATCCAGGCAGGAAGGAGAAGGAAGAAACACAAGTTAAGACCCCTGGGTGCCACCGGGGGAAGACCCCAGCCCCAGGCGCAGGCCAAGGGAAGAAGAGATGGAGGCAGGGCTCCACCCGAGGACTTCTCCCACGTCCAGCCCCAGCCCTGTGAGTCAAGGCGCCTGCTTCCCAAGGCCCAGCTCCTCCCAGCAGAGAGAACAGGGATGCACTGAAGCACAGGCCCGGATGGCAAAGACCACAGCAGGGCCCTTACTCTGCTCAGCATCGGCTGTGGGACCCTAGGCCTGTTGCTTAACCTCTCTGGATGGCATTGGCCCTAGAATGACTCCAAGCAGTGTTCAAAAAAGCGAGAAGGAAACAAGAGGCAAAAGATCCTTTGCAAAGATGAAAGTGTTGGGCCGGGATTTAGCTCAGTGGTTCCACCGCCTGGAACCCTAAATAACAATTTTAAAAAATTTAAAAAGGGCTAGCGCTGGGCATGGTGCCACACACTGTGATCCCAGCACTGAGGGAGGTTGAGGCAACTGAATAACTTAATGAGATCCTAGGTAAACTTAATGGGATCCTGTCTCAAAATATAAACCAGGGGGCATGGAAAATACAGCTCAATGCGAAGGCCGTGGGTTCAATCACCAGTACTGGGGAGAGAAAAACGGACAAACAGACAGAGACAGGGACAGAGAGAAAGACACAGAGACAGAGAGATAGAGAGACAGAGAGCGAGATCAAGGGAAGTTATGTGACTCTTCTTTGTATTCCCTAATGACTGCAGTAAAAGACATTCTTCTATGTCCATGGGAGGGTCAAGGAGGAGACAGGCTGGGGGACAAGGACCCCTCGAGGCCAGCTCCTTACCCAGGGTTCACAGGCTCCGACTGCAGGGGCACTTTCCGGGTCTTGCTAAGGGAGGCCAGAGGTGAGCTCATAGTTCTAGTCTAGATGCTACCTATCAGGAACACCCTGAGAGGAAAGAGAGAAGTCAGCCCTTGAGAACAGAGGGAACTTAGGAGTTCAGGTCCAGGGAGTGGCCTGAAGCGTTTTCTCCCTGTGTCCTTTTCCTAAGAAGGTGCACTGCTCAGGGAGCAGCAGCCCTCACTTCTCCAGTGCCTGGCAGAGGTTTCGACATCCACCTGGTCCTCTGGGTACCAGGCTCTGCTCTAACAGAGGCCTGCTGGTACCTGGGAAAGGGCTATGCAAGGGGGCAAAGTGCAGAGATGGGTCAGAGGCCTGGGGCTTCCTCAAACCTAGAACCTGGACCCAAGACTACCCGTGAGGCCTGGGCTTTTGTTTATCCATCAGTGTGCTGGTTGACATAAAGCCCAGGTGTATCTTCCTTCTCTACCAGAATCCAGGTGCCACCCCCATCTCCAACATCAGAGGGGGAAGACCTCAGGCAGGACCTGAGGAAGACACAGGCCATGTGATGTGGAGATTAGGAGCTGGTTTTGCTGCCCATAGTGCACCTGGCGCCTCCGTTCCTCTGATGTAAGACAGTAACAATACTGGCCAGGCAGTTTACTGAGGAATTTAGAGATAGCGGCAAGCATTTAGTCCAATGCCATGCTCAAAGGAAGCACTTACAAACATGTATGTGGCCGTGTGGGTCATTTTACTGCCATGCAGAACTAGGCACTCATAAATGCTGGTTTCCCTCCCTTCCCTCTTCCTTCTGGAGGGAGGAATGCACATTTGGGACATAATTAAAGGCCCCTATTCTATTCAGTGCATGTTAAATGGCTAATACCTAGAAATCCTAGAGCCTTCATCAGGAAGGGTCTGAACCAAGTCTTTTTAGTATAAACCCAAGAATTTCCATCTTGGAAATGTGTGTTATTGGTCTCCCACCTAACCCTGAAGCTGCCCAGTAAGAGCAGTCCCAGGCCTCCATTCTAGGTATGAGACTCATGCCCTGCCCCTTCCTCAGGAGGAGCTCTCCCCCAGGACCAGGCCAGTGTCCTTACCCCCACATCCAGTCTGCCACCCTGACCCTGTCTTTGTCCTGCCCTGTGTGATCTGGACACCCTCATGGTTTAAGTGGCTAAGCATGAGAGCCCCTTGTGGATCCTCCATCAGTCTCTACTCTCTGCCAGAGATCTCAAAACACCAAACTCACATGTCAGGCTCCTGTACAATGCCCCCCCCCTCCATGGCTCCTTCTTATTCACACACAAAAAAATTCCAAAGTCCTTAATATAGGTGATCTGGTCCTTTTCTATGTCTCCTCATTTCATCTTCTCCTCATCCATCCCCTACACTTGGGCCAGTGAGCTGCTGGCAATGCCTCAAACGCATATGCGGCTCCATCTGCCAGGAAAGCTTTCAGAATGGTCTCCCAGATCTTATCCACACCCTTCCCTTGGCTAGGTTTAGTCACAATTTAGCTTTTTTATTTTAAAATTATTATAGATTCACAGGAAATTAAGGAGAGAGGCCCTGGTATTCTTCACCTAATATCCCTCAATTATTACACTTGATCGAGGCAGGCGGCGGCACCACTGAGCTAAATCCCCAGCTCTTACATTTGATCGAACTACAGTGCAATATCAAGAACAGGAAATTGACTATTTTTGTACAGTCTGTGTGTACAGGCCTGTGCCACCTGTTCACGTGGGTACATGCAGATTAACCACCACAGCAATCAAAATGCAGACCTAAGCGCAAGGACCCGAGTTCAATCCCCGATACAAAAAAAAAAAATGCAGACCTATTCTGCCCCCACAGAGGTCTTCCTCCTGCTGCTTCTTATAGCCACACCCATTCTCCTTCCTCCTCGGCCCTAATCCCTGGTAATCATTACTCTTTTTTTTCCATCTCTATAATTTTCTTACTTTAGGAACATTATATAAATGGAATCATATAGTATATAATCTTTTTTAGAAATACATTATTGTCATTTTATTAATATGCTTCACCCTTTTAAAGCACACAGTTAAGTTTTCAATATATTCAGAGATGTGTAAACCATCACTACAATTTGAGAACATGTTCATCAGCCTAAAAGACCAGTATCTTTTAGCAGTCACCCATACCGCATTTACTGCCCTTTCCCTAGCCAGCCTGAAGCAGTCACTAATCTACTTTCTGTCTCTACAGATTTGCCCATTATGGACATTTCATATACAGGGAGTGTTTACTAATGCTGATTGAAATTTACCCTTTAAAGTGCTGCAGTATTAGGTGAATTATGTATCAATAAAGGTAAAAAATTAAAGCTGGCTCCCAAGCCAAACCCAACATCTTCTTCCCCCTTCTTAATGGAACCCCATTATCCAACCGCAAAAATTTCCTCTGCTTCCCTCTTAATACATCAGTTACCAAACCCTGTAGGTAAAACTGTGATGTCTCCTTTCAGTGCTCACTGTTGACCCCTCTGATGTGACACTCGCTGGACTTTCTATGGGGCTGTCACAGTGGTCCCTCACTAACTGCCCTGCTTCCAGTCTCATTCTCGTCCACTTCGACATGATGTCTCCAGATCTGTTTTCCCGTGGATTTTAGGAGACCCCTCCAGACAAAGACTGTCTCCCCATCAGTCTGGAGAGGGCAGGATTGTGTCTCCTCCTTCCTCACCCTGGCGGACTCTGAGGACAGACTCTAATATACCCTCTTCACTACAGGGAGCTTCCAGGGAAGGATAGAGTCTTCCCCTTCAGGTCGAAAACTCCTAAAGGTAGGGCTATCTCTCTCCAGACCAGGGCTCTGAGTCTTATGCTTCTGCTCTTTGGGACCAAACAGTACCACATGTGCTTGACTACAACATCCTTCAACACAACTCCTCAGCCTATTCCTAACTCCAGGCCCCATAGCCAACAGGGCTGCGTGTTGCATGCCTTGTCTCCCTAATTCCCACCTGGACAACTACCACGACCTGATCACGACCTGATCACGACCTGACCACCCCAAGCCAAGTCGCCCCCTCCGCCTCCGTATGTCGTCATGATGAGCGGAGACCGAACACGCTCTTGGGACTCAAATCGCCATTAGGGCAGCCTGGCCCAGGAAGTCGCAGGCCCTGGGGACCCTGGGGACCCCCGGGGCGAGAGCTCTCCCTGAGGGGAGCATTGAAAGGCCTTGGGCCAGGGACTCACCACACAGGGACAGCTAGCTGTCCCGGCACCGCCATCTTGTTGTCACGCGGTTTCCCAGGCGACCAGGACCTGTGTACTTCTCATTGGCTAATTCGAGGACCCGAGCAACCAACAGGCGGCAGAGGCGGGTACTGGCCGGCGGGGTCCAGGCTCATTTTGGGATACTGCAAATCCCAGAATCCACTGCTCTGAGCTGACTCCAGGTGGGAGGGTTGGGAGGTCTTCCTCACACTACTGTCCAGAAGCTCCGAGGACACTCTGGAATTAGGTTGGTGAAATTGCTGGAAGCACTTGCACATGAACGTGTGACTCTGACATTGCCACTACTGTGCTAAATTGATCTTGGGGAAAACTACTTCGTGGGGATAGTTTTGTGATTAACTGAAATGATGCCGGTACTTGATAAATATTTCTGAATTTCTCTGCTTCTTTTTTCGGTACTGGAGATTGAACCAAGGCCTTCACACATTCCCAGCCTTTTTATTTTATCTATCTATCTATCTATGATCCATCGATCTATTTTTTTGAGAAAGGGTCTTGCTACGTATTCCAGTCTGGCCTTGAACTCACTGGGTAACACAGGCCAGCCTAGAACACATGACCTCAGCCTCCTGAGTGCTGGGATTATAGGCATGCTCCACGATGGCCGGCCCTCAGCCTTTTAAACTTTTTAAAATCTTTAGGCAGGGTCTTGCTAAATTGCTAAATTGCCCAGGTTGGGCCCAGATTTGGGATTCTCCTACCTTAGCCTTCCAGAGTGCTGGGATTAAGGTGTGCATCACCACACCCAGCTTTCTGCTAACTTCTTGACCAGATAATGCCCTGAACGAAGATCAAATTCTAGTTGCTTTGTGGAAGAATTGGATAAGGTACCCCGCTACAAACCTTGATATAAAATTTCCCCTCCCTGAGTCCCTTCTGTAAAACGAAGATGTTGGACTAGACTAGTCAACAGAGCAACAAGAGACAGTTAAGAGCACGAACTTCGGGGTCAGGAGTCTATGTGTCCCTCAACACACATGGGACTGGGCTGGGGATTTAGCTCATGGTTCTGGTGCCTGCCTCACAAGCACAAATTCCCGAGTTCGATCCCCAGTACCAAAAAACAAAAAACAAAAAACACACATGGGACTCACAGGACTGCTGTGAGGATTAGGTGAGACAATGCAAAGTACCACTTAAAACACCTGTGTAAACTATATTTTCAAAAAATTTCCTATTAACCATCATCTCAAGACTTCCAGCTGTAATGATCTCACTCCTCCCACCACCACCACCACCACCACCATACTGGGGATTGAATTTAAGACCTTATACTTGCCAGGCAGGCGAGTTGCCACTGAGCTATATCCGCAGCCCCGTGATCTCACTTTTAATCTCAGACACTCACGTCCTTTTGCCCAGGTTCAATCACCAAACTCCAAACGCCTCAGACCGCCCTCTTTAGTAAATTATTTTCCGCTGGACTTGTTTTTCTTTTTGGTGGGTGTGTTGGAGGTGGAACCCAGAGCCTCTGGCATGCTGAGCAGGTGCTCTACCACTGAGCTACAGCTCTCCACTCTTTCAACTGTCTGACGCACTGTGTGGGAATGGGGCATTACTCTCGAATTCTCTAGGAACCAATAGGAAGCTGAAGGCCACTGCCAATTACTGCATCCCTTCCAAGTGCCACAGGCCAACATTGTGAGGTTTACGAACAAGAAAACACCAGATCAGAGAAAGGAAGTGCAGAGAAAAGAAGTGACCTGCTCAAGACTATACAGGTAGAGCCTGGTGTGGTGGCGCACGCCTGTGATCCCAGCACTCGGGAGGTTGAAGCAGGAGGATTACTGAGAATTCGAGGCCAGTCTGGGCTACAGAGTGAGTTCAGGGCCAGCCTGAACTACAAAGGAAGACCCTGCCTCAAAAAACAAAACAAAACACAAAAAGACTATACAGGTAGGAAGCAATAAAAGCTTCAGATACAGAACCATCTGCCTCTAGAATCCATGGTCTTTATAGAAACTCCCACTGTGCTACAACAGAAGTCAAGGATAAGTCAAGCATGTTGATGGTCCAGGCCCACTGCCAAAGGAGGGGTTTGGAAAATGTGACCAGAGGAGAAGTATGCATAGGTGCTCCCCGGAAGCTTACCCTTCTTTCTCTCTCTCTGGCTCTTCTTCTATCTCTCTCTCTCTCTCCTTTTTGGTTGTTGTTTGTTTCGTAGCAGGGAGATAAGAGACTTGAAGAGCAGGAACCACAAGCACTCTCTGCTGGTGTAGTTGGGCTTAGGTGCAATTTTCTAAGGTTTGGGTGTCATTTTCCTAACTTGAGGCTCCCAACAGTAATTGTTGAGGACAGGGCCCAGTGGGAGATGATATTTCTCAGAGTGACACTGGCCCATGAAGGGAGGGGAGTGTGGGAGGTGCTCTGGCAAAGGGAGGGAGGTCAGCAGATGGGACAGGCAGCTGGGGCACCTGGAGGAGGCCGAGCCAAAGAGAGAGTCAGAAAGACTTGGTGACCAAGGCCAAGTCACCTGGAGGTTCAGTAAACAAAGGCCTCATTAGGGTTGATTGGCTGCTTAAAGTCACAATTAAGGGGTCTAAGGGAGGGGGGGAACGGGAAAAAAAGAACCAAGATGTATCATGTACAGGTACGAATTCCCTATGATAAATGTTATTATGTATATCTAAAATTTACCAATAAAGGTTTTTGCTTTAAAAAAAAATTACAATTAATGGTACTTGCAAGAATATGCCTGGGGCAGGGATTAAAAGAGTATGTCTGCTACATACCCTGAGCTCCTATAGGCCCATTTCTGCATCAGACTTTACTAATTGTAACCCTACAAGATAGGATAATCTCAACTTAGCTGAGATATAGTCATTTTGTGTATAAAAAATCCCTAGACAAGAGAGTCTCCTTGGTGACCCTTCTCAGACTCCTTCCCAGGTTCATTTGCCCAGGAGCTTTTTGCTTCCACATTACAATAAATTCTTCTTTCTGCTTTCGCTCTGCAATAAATACTTTTGCTCAGTCCTTTTTTGGCTCTACCTTGTAATTCTGGGTTGAGAGAAGAACCCACCAGCCAGTAACAGTTTGTTTTGTTTTTCTTTTTTGGTGGTACTGAGGATTGAGCCCACATCCTTGTGCATGTAGGCAGAGATTGTATCACTGAGCTACACCTTTGGCCCTTTTTAGTTTTTATTTTGAGGCAGAGTCCTCCTGCCTCAGCCTCCTGAGTAGCTGGAATTACAGGCATGTACCACCACGCCCAGTTTTCTGAGGCTTTGGGTATAGCAGGATAAGGAATTTGGAGGTCATGCTGGGATAGAGTGCTTTTTGGAGCTGTGGAGGAGCCTTGGTCAGGGAGACCATGGGACACTAGAGCCTCAGGAAGACTGGGAAACATGAGGAGTGTTTGCCCAGGCATCAGAATTCACCTCTGCCGCCCTTGCACTCAGGGCCTGCAGTAGCCAGACGCTCAGAGAACATCTGCAGGTAGTTCCTGGAAGAGAAATCAGAGCCCACCAACATGGCAGGCCAGTTTGAGTTTTTAAAAAGTAGTATTCAGTGGAGGGAAGGCAGAAACTTATAAAAGTATGCATTCTCAACCAAGTGTGGTGGAACCTAGCCTGGGCAACTTAGCAAGACCCTCTCAAAATACAAAATAATAAAAGGACTGGGGATATAGCTCAGTGCTAAGGCCCTGGGTTCAATACCCAGTATCACATACAGACAATAAAAATATACATTCTCACTAGAGAAACTTGGAAAGTACTAATAGCCAGCATTTATTGAGGGTGTATTGTACTGTGGACCAGCATAATTTAACAACTCCATGAGGCTGGTTGGGCCCTGTCACTTGCTAGCTGGCTGTTGCTACTCAACTACTTCACTTCTCTAACCAGAGTTTCTTTTTTTCATTTGTGTTTTTTGAGACAGGGTCTCACTATATAGTTGAGGCTGGCCTTGAGCTATGTCGCCCAGGCTGGAGTTGAACTTGTGGTGATCCTCCTGCCTCAGCCTCCCAAGTGCTGGGATTACATGTGTGCGACCATGCCTGGCTAACTTCAGTATATATATATATATATATATATATATATATATATATATATATATATAAAACAGATACAAATAGAACCTACCTCATAGGATTATTCTGCACCTTAAGTTTTCCATAATATTGCCACATTATTGGTTATTTTTTAAAGGTTTCTCAAAAATAGGAAAGCAGAAAACTTGGAAACAGCCCAATTGGCCATCAACTGGAAACTGGATAAAGAAGATGTGGTTTTTTTATAAAATGGAGTACTACTCAGCCATAAAGAACGAGAAACTAGAGTTATTTATAGCTAAATGGATGCATATTGAGGCCATCCTCTTAAGTGAAATAAATAGGACACACGTGTGTAAATACCAAATAGTTTCTCTAGTGTGAGAAACTGAGAGTATAAATAAGGATTAAAAGGATTAATAACTAAAAATTGATACTTTGAAATAGGAAAAGGTCCAAAGGGGTAGGGGTGGTGGGAGGAGATGGGAAAGGAAAGAATGGAAAGGAAAAATTATGAGAAAAGAAAAAAAAAATGGAAATGAAGTCTATGTAAATAGGGAAGGGTGGAGGGGTGAAGAGCGCGCAGGTAATGGGGAAAAAATAAGAACCAAGATACATCATGTACAGGTACAAGCACCCAGTGATAAATGTAAACGTATTGTATACCTAAAATGTACCAATAAAAGAATTTAGGAAAAAAAAATAGGAAAGCGGGGCCAGGGATTTAGCTCAGTGGTTCTGCCGCCTAACTCACAAGTGCAAGTCCCAAGTTCGATCCCTGGTACCAAAAAAAAAAAGTAGGAACGCAAGGGTCTAAGCTCATCTAATAGTTATTTTCCAACCTGTACACATTTCTCTATCCCTCACCTGAGGGGTCTGCAAAGCTTTCTGAGGCTCATCTAAGACTTGAGTGTAGGGAGGACCTTGAGGGGCAACCTGTCCAACTTCCAAGCTTCTCCGGGCTTCCCTCTGGACTCCTGGGATAGGGGTCAGCTGGCTGCTGCTTTAGCCTATCCTCTGTCTGACGGTGGTGGAAAGGTCCTGGCTGGGGAGGAGGGGGCCTCCCTCCTACTCTGGGATCAGAATATTCTGGAAGTTTCTATTCTGACAGT